ATTCTCTCAGATTGAGTCCGTAAGCTCACCTTCCAGTCCGCGGGATGCTGGAATAGCCCCTTAGACCAGCAGATAGGTAGCTAAGAAGTCTTTCCCCACTTAGTAATAAAGCAAAGGTGTTTACCCCTTCAGATTGTAAGAAGTATCAACAATGCACAACCAAGCCGGATCTACCACTGGAGTCTACTCCATTTGAGGATCGATCATAGCGCTCAGGAAACACCAAGGAGTCACACGATATATAATAACAATCCGATTTAATATTAGACATGATCCAACGCGAGAGGTAGATGCCCGAGATTATCGTATTTATATTTCCCAAATTTAGAATACTATACAATTCTCGTGGTCGCGGACAACGGGCTTACTTCTTCAATAAAGTTGAATCTATTCGCAAATTGAAATCAATTGTCGACAATAGGTTAAAACTAAGTGCGCATGTTGCGCTGCACGAAGCAATCGATCGATTTGATCTAATCGATTAAATATCGATACAGACAGGTTTTTTATTACCTAAGAATGACAGGTTCAATGGTCAACGGGTCTTACAGGCACTATAGCGCTACTTAGTATGGTATTGATACATGATACTTTTGTGGTGGAGTTAAGCAGGAGAGCGGTACGTACCAGTAAGTCCTCTTAATCGGTTCCTAGGATAGTAGCCGGGATATTTGGGTTTTTTTTTTGGATTGATGGTTTACTGTTGGCCTGGAGGCCTTTCCAGTTTCACCAGGACAGGTGGGCGAGCAAAGGCTCAGCCAAGAGGGGTGGGATTTGCTAACAGCTGCCCGAGCGCCTCCGAAGGAGACCTAACAACTCAAAAGCAGCTGCTTCGTGAATGAATCTACTACCGGATCGGAATCGCAACCGCTGAGAAGACCGGCGAGAAACTCAGCGAGCTGACGCATGGGTTAGGTTGCACGTGGAACTCTTTGTCGAGTTTGACGAGTACGGTTACCGGGGTCCCTAAGCCTGTTCCTAGTGTTAGAGCTGAAGGCTTCTAATGCAAAGCTTATTGGTAAGTTTTAAGTCGTCATGGCCTAAAGGATAAGGCGACCGGTACGTTCGTATCGAGCGGTGCGACTATGCCAGTGTTCGAATTCCGCAGGCAGGTACCAATATTTCTAATCAAATACGTATAATACTTAATAAATGTTCACGAATGACTTCCACGGTGAAGGAACAACATCGTAATTCGGTAATTCTAAATTTATTATTTGCGTAATGGTTAAGGTCGTCGGCCCCGTGCATTAGTTATAATCAAATATAATCTTATGATCGCTTTCTTTTTATCACACCTCCATTACTTTGATCTGTATCTATGTATGTCACTTAAGTTTTTAAGTTAATTTCCACAGATTTTTTTGTCCCTACTGTCACCGGATCGAAATTGCGACCCAGTGAGAAGCTTCTGTCTAAAGAGAGTTCTGTCTATGGCTAGTTCGCGAACTCTTCGTCGTAATCGAGAAGTTCGACGAGGACAGTAAATTAACCCACAGACACAGCTCACTGAGTTTCTCGCCGGATCTTCTCAGTGGGTCGCGTTGCCGATCCGGTGGTAGATTCTGCGAAGCACGGCTCTTGCGAGGGTTCGTGTTAGCAACGTCGTCAGGTTTGAGCTCCGTGAGCTCACCTACTAGTTAAGGTTACGCTGATATACCTCTCAAGACTATCAGCTTAGGTAGGAAAAAAAAGGTTGATCGAATAACTTGAAAATCCGCGCACGCATCAAGGACCGATGAGGATACAATGTTTTTATTACCATTGATGATATTATTATTGATTGATATCTTTTATTTATTAAATTGTTAAACAATACTTTTATAATCGATTATTCTCATACATACCCATAGCATACTTGAAATCGACACAATTAAACAAGGATACAATGACAATTAGCGAAAATGAAGTAGCGTGTACATTAGATGTACGAGATAAATTGATTTTTATTGAAAGCAATTAAGACGAACACGATTGTTCTATTGCAAATTCTTTTGACGAATAATTATTGTACAGTTTTTTTTTGTTTACATTTTTGCGGCTTCATTCCTAGACGGGGTGGAGTGATTTCGATAAGATACAATATTGTCTGTTCGCATTAAAAGTGTCCAATTTCCAAAAATATTCGAAATAGAGTTAATATGCGGAATCATTTGGTATCACCAGTATTTTTCTCCTAAATACTGTCAAAAGAGCGTAGTTTAGTTTTAGTTTTTTTTTCTTTTTAGTTTACCTATGTTTTGACTACTATTAACAAAATGAATATATCATTTTATCTTACTTTATTAAAAGACAGATAATGTAACTGGTAAAAAATAAGAAATAAAAACACTCTCCTGTAAAATTAGTAAGTTTTGAGATTATACAGTTTTAATGCGAGAAGACGATACATGTGTAGAATTGTCATGTAATGAAATTTATTATAGTTCATTTTATTTTATTTTATAGTGGTAGAACGTCTTGTAGATTCGCACGGGTAGGTATCACCACCCTTGATTCCAAAATCTGCAGATCGTCAAGTCTGACATACCCCACGAACCCCCTAGGCGCGGACACCTCCAATGAGGTTCGGCCCTCTGCCCGAAAAAAGAAGACCAAAGACCACCACCCTGCTTATTTATGCCGTGACGCAGTAATGCGTTTCGGTTTGAAGGGTGGGGCAGCCATTGTACTGTTAAAACTGTTACAGCTCATGTCTTGAGGCGGGTGGTGAAATTTACGTTGCTGTTGTCTGTGGACTCCAGTAACTAGTCAACATTTTTTTTTAAATAAATAAATATTTACTAACAATCACGCCACGTTAACTTGTCCCGTGATGAGTTCGTAAAGAACTTGTGTTACAGGTACCAGATAACGGAAATAATTGTAAGATTTTTATTATACCCATACATATAATTAATATACATCCGTAACCCTGGAAAAGACATTTATATTTATCATACAAATATCTTCCCTTGGCGGGATTCGAACCCGCGACCCCCTTGTGTAGTGACCATGTCACTTACCACTACACCAGACGGCCGATAAACATTAGGTGGGCCGTGAGCCATCAAAGCCAGAAAAAAACACTGCTCTTGGAATGCAGTCGTCGTCTTCAGAAATGTGTGACGGGACTTAGTCATTTGTCCCGGTAATTGAAGTCATTTTGATGAAAACAAATTAGTTACGCGATGCACATTCGTGCGCTGCAAATATACTCGTGAGAAATTGACGGCTTATGACTTAATTGATTGAGGAAAATTACGGTTTTTGTATTCGAATGCTCTCAGAGGCTGTGCCGATTTTGTTGGACGTTAAAAGAAGTTGTTTGACGAGCATTAACTACATATGCTTACAAAGAACTGCACTGAAGATTGAAAATGATAAACAATATCGAAGGGTGAAAGGGTATTAACGGTTTAAGCGCCATTTCGCTTAGTACGCGACATTTTATTTGGTACTAGCTGACCCGGCAGACTTCGTAGTTCCTCAATCGCTAAATAAAAGACCTAAACTTTTGTATAAAATAAACTTAAAACAAAAGGAATCCGTCCGATGGGAGACATATCAAAGGAAAAACAAAATTGCTATTTTTATTTAATTCCGAGCATTTTCATATTTATCTAAATCTTCCCTTCCTTCCTATCCTTTTAAACCTTCTCTGATTTTCCACAAATAATTCAAGAACAAAATTAGCCAAATCGGCCCAGCCGTTCTCGAGTTTTAGCGAGACTAATAAACAGCTATTAATTTTTATATTTATAAATAGATAGATAGATTAGCATAAACAGTTCGATGTTTTTCATTAAACTTCAATTTTTTTTATTGCTTAGGTGGTTGGACTAGCTCACAGCCGACCTGGTGTTAAGCGGTTACTGGAGCCCATAGACATCTATGCCAAAATGCGCCACCCACCTTCAGATATAAGTTCTAAAGTCTCAGTATAGTTACAACGGCTGCCCCGTCCTTCAAACCGAAACGCACTATACTGCTTCACGGCAGAAATAGGCAGGGCGGTGGTACCTACGCGTACGGACTCAGAAGAGGTCCTACCACCAGTAAAAGTCAATTAAGTTTACTCCGTTCTAATAACAGAAGTTTTTTTTGTTATGATATTTTTTCCAAACTATAAACTTGAAATGGCTCTCCTGTAAAGTTGCAAAAATGTCGATTAAGCTAATACACCCTAATAAGCCTTTTACACCTCGATAAATAATGACTCTGTTATTGCCTAACTAACCAATGATTACAAAATCTTATACCTTTAAACGAGCAATTCTTAGAGGTTCCGCAGTAGTCGAAATTCGACTATAACTAATTGGAATTGTAAGTTTGTACACTATTATGGTTATATTTTATACTTCTATAATCACAAATTTCGCCAAGACTACACTATAAAAAATATTAACAAAGACAAACAATATTTAATCTATTCTCAATTTGACAACAGACGTCAAGAACAAAAGTTTGACAATAAATAGTATGCATGCGTGTGTGCGTCAAATACATGTAGTGTGTGTAATGTTTTCTTTATTGATTTCATGTATCTTTTATGCATTATTTAAAAAAATATTAGCATTGTGCACTTCTTCTCTATATTCTTTATAAGTGTGGAAAATTTCATACTCCTCCGTCCGCGCAATTTTCGTAAAAAGGGATACAAAGTTTTTGCTTCACGTATTAATATATAGATATATAATCTGAATCTCGGAAACGGCTCCAACGATTTTCATAAAATTTAGTATACAGGGGATTTCGGGGGCGATAAATCGATCTAGCTACGATTTATTTTCAGTAAATGTTGTTTTGTTCGTGTTTTCAATAATCAACTTTATCGATAATGAACTTTATGACTCTCCCCGACATCTATTGGCGAATAATAATACTATTTTTCTTAATTGAGGGCAACTAACCGCTTTAAACACAAAACAAGATGGCGTTATCAAAAAAAAAAAACAGCAAATCTCGGTCATCATCTAGTATCATAATTATAATCAGATCATCAGAAACGACTCACTCACCATCAACAGGAAAGCGTAGCACGATAAAACCAATTATTCGGTCTCAGAAAATTATCAAATCACCGAATGTTATCTTCATCACAATTCGAAATGCAAGGATTCTATGGTTTTCCATTAATTATCTGGTACAAGACGAGTTTCGAATACCACTGCTTGGCTTTTCTGGTGAGGTCTTCGATCCTGGTTGGGCTCAGTCAACAGCAGAGCAAAATCGATCTGTAAGAAAGAAAGCGAAATTCAGGATGGTTTTACTGGTGGTAGGACCTCTTGTGATACCGCGCGGGTGGGTACCACCACCCTGCCTATTTCTGCCGTGAAGCAGTAGTGCGTTTCGGTTTGAAGGGTGGGGCAGCCGTTGTAACTAGAGACCTTAGAACTTATATCTCAAGGTGGATGGCGCATTTACGGTGTAATGTTTATGGGCTCCAGTCACCACTTAACACCAGGTGGGCTGTGAGCTCGTCCAACCATCTAAGTAATAAAAAAACGTTCAGTTTCGCCTATGTTTTATCAAATGATTATTTTACTTGCGAAAATGTAGAGACCTGAACAGAAGATCCTTACGTTTTTAAGCGGTTCCTTTTTGGTTTATTTAGAGCTAGTGGACCCGGCGAACTTTGTTCCGCCACACGGTTTGTTTCAAACACATCAACCGATCAACTTCAAAATTCTACTATAATTAACCATAGACTACCTATATTACGTTTAGCTGTCAGTTGCGTTTTGTTATTCCATATCAGTTGTCGTGGCCTAACGGATAAGACGTCCGGTGCATTCGTGTTGAAGCGATGCACCGGTGTTCGAATCCCGCAGGCGGGTACCAATTTTTCTAATGAAATACGTACTCAACAAATGTTCACGATTGACTTCCACGGTGAAGGAATAACATCGTGTAATAAAAATGAAACCCGCAAAATTATAATTTGCGTAATTACTGGTGNTATCAGTTGTCGTGGCCTAACGGATAAGACGTCCGGTGCATTCGTGTTGAAGCGATGCACCGGTGTTCGAATCCCGCAGGCGGGTACCAATTTTTCTAATGAAATACGTACTCAACAAATGTTCACGATTGACTTCCACGGTGAAGGAATAACATCGTGTAATAAAAATGAAACCCGCAAAATTATAATTTGCGTAATTACTGGTGATAGGACCTCTTGTGAGTCCGCACGGGTAGGTACCACCGCCCCGCCTATTTCTGCCGTGAAGCAGTAATGCGTTTCGGTTTGAAGGGTGGTGCAGCCGTTGTGACTATACTGATACCTTAGAACTATATCTCAAGGTGTGTGGCGCATTTACGTTGTAGATGTCTATGGGCTCCAGTAACCACTTAACATCAGGTGGGCTGTGAGCTCGTCCACACATCTAAGCAATAAAAAAAAGAAAAAAAAAAAGAAAAAGAAAAAGTTGCGTTTTGTTATACCACGTTTTATGTCACGTCCCACGGGAACATGATAAAAAGTATCCTATGTCCTTCTCCTGGTTCTAAGCTACCTCCTCACCCATTTTCAGCCAAATCAGTTCAGCCGTTTTTGAGTTATAAATAGTATAACTAACACGACTTTCTTTTATATATATAGACTAGCTGACCCGGCAAACATTGTTTTGCCATATATAAGATTTCTATAATCTAAGTGTGTAAGGATGTCGTAAATGAGTGAAAGAGGTATGTAGTGCTGTAAACGATGAGGGATGAATATATAATAAAAATAACAAAACCTCATTCAACCACATAATACCTCATTATAACAAAAAAAAAAGTCCAAATAAAAACAAATATGTTAGGGGTGGACAACCCTAATCACTTAGGGTTATAAAAAATAGATAGTAGCCGATTCTCAGGCTTACTGAATATGCATAAAAAATTTCATGAGAATCAGTCAAGCGGTTTCGGAGGAGTATGGGAACGAACATTGTGACACGAGAATTTTATATATTAGATTTAAGTTATCGATATTTTTCTCTATCAATAGGGCCATGTTTACATGTGGTACGCATGAGTATATTGTTGTAAGCAACCAAGCGAAACGTATTATAAAGTTGTTGATGAATACTGGGCTTGGTTCGAGATCACGAAATGAGTCTGTTGTATTGTTGACCTTGACAGGATATTTGCTTTATAATGGGCAATAAAAGCCATTGAGAAAAGCGCTCTAGTATATTTGACGCTTTTGTTCGGTCTAAATGGTAAAACGCAAGGTTTATTCCCGCAGGCGGATATCTTTTTTTTTTAAAGAGATTTTATGACCTGGTAACTAAGACCTTTAAGTCATGTGTTATTTAATTTATTAAAATGATAATATGGAGTGAAATGAAATGAAACGAAGACAATTAATTTGTGACATTAATCAACTGGGATGAAATGAAATGAGATGCGATGAGATGATATGGGATGAAATATAATCTCAGTAAAATAGGGGTCATTTACTAAGATTTTTTCAGTGGACTTTTTGGAGGATCCCGAGAAGTTACGTCCAGCGGCTTTGTTTCATTTTCCCACATTTGTGCACTTTCACAGATATTAAACAGTTAATAAACCACCGTTATTACACATTTAAACCTGAAGAAACACTAAATATGTGTATTTTATAATACTGAGATATTATTTTAAGGAAGATTTTTGGTTTGAGTTTGTTCTTTTTTTTTGTTTTGTTGTTGTTGTTTGTTATTCTTTTGTTAATGCACCTACCATGCATTATCTCTGCACCACCCTGTGGTCGACTGGAAGAGAATGCCCATGGCATTAAGTCCGCCTGTGTACAAATTTTGTTTTGTGCATAAAGTATAAATAAATAAATAAATAGACAAAATAAAACAAATCACACAACTTCACTCCTCGCGTTCCCGCGATTACACGAAACATTTATAAAATTAGTGATCACATTACGTCCCGTATTCTAAGCGCGTGGAGGTAATTACAAGAACCCTGCTGCGACGCAGTCATGCATTTCAGGGTAAAGGATGGGCCAGTCATATAATTAAACTAGCTGTACCCGTCCGCTTCGCTGGGCATTTAATTTATTTCTCACCCCCACAAAGATTCTCATCATTAACGCCCCCGCAACTGGTGTAGGGAGTCCCAACACTCATATAAATATTAGCCTATCCATTAAGTACATGTATTTTCTACATGGATACCAAGTTTCAAGTCAATCGGATGCACGGTTCAGTAGTTATAACGGAACATCCGTAAAAACCACTGTAGATTTATTTATATATTAGTATAGATTGAGATTACAATTAATGTTTCAATGTAGACAGTGGCATTCATGTTGTCTCCCATAGACACAACCAATTGAGTTTCTCGCCGAATCTTCTCAGTGGATCGCGATTCCGATTGGGTGGTAGACTCAGCGAAGTAATGCTCTTACTAGGACAGATGTTAGCAAATTCTCTCAGTTTAAACCCCGTCAGCTCATCTACCAAACAGCGCGTTGTTGGAATAAATAGTCCCTTAGGCTAATAGCTTAGGCTAGGAAAAAAATCACGTTATTAAATATATTCTAAAGTCTCAAGAAATAATAATTGTAAATAGACATGCTTTAACAAAAATCGACTTCAAATTTAAAAAAAAAGATATTCCAAAACAAATTAGTATACACTAAAAACAATAATCATCTAAATCGGTTGGCGTGATATTGAGTTATTGAGTTATTCATCTATTTGTCGCGCACGTACTTAATGCAAATTTAAGACTTATATGGTTTTCTCATGGATACCATTATCAGAACTGGACTAAATTGCCATGGGACCACATGGGAAGCGTCAGATTTCTATTAAAAAAAAGAATCATCAAAATCGATTCACCCAGTTAAAAGTTATGAGGTTACAAACATTACAAAAAATACAGTCGAATTGAGAACCTCATCCTTTTTCGGTCAGTCGGTTAAAAAGACTGATTTGATACAACACCATTGTATTAATGTTAATCAAATTGCAAGGTGTTGATGGTAACGTATGCATTTCGTTACATATGTATTAATGATGACCGGATCAGATACATTGTCAACCAAAACATTAAATTCAGTACACCATATCAATTGAAGGCATTATCTGATAGATCATTTCTGGGGCCAGTTGCGACACCACAAAACATAATACGTTTTGACCGTATCTGGCTCAAAGCAGTATTGAAGTATCCTAGTTGGTTCGAATACATTATGATATCGTCTATTCGCATTAAAAGTGTACAATTTCCTAAAACTAGAGGTCACGCAGTAGTCGAAATTCGACTATAATTAATTGTAATTGTAAGTTATGATTATGATTGTATTTTATACTTCTATAATCACAAATTTCGACTAGACTACACTATAAAAAATATTAACAAAGACAAACAATATTTAATCTCAATTTGACAACAGACATCAAGAACAAAAGTTTGACAATAAGTATGCATGCGTGTGTGCGTCAAATACATGGTATGTAGTGTGTGTAATGTTTTCTCTATTGATTTACTGTATCTTTTATGCATTATTTTAAAAAAATATTAGCATTGTGCACTTCTTCTCTATATTCTCTATAAGTGTGGAAAATTTCATACTCCTCCGTCCGCGCAATTTTCGTAAAAAGGGATACAAAGGTTTTGCTTCACGTATTAATATATAGAGATTCCAAATTGAGTTAATATGCGGAATCATTTGGTATCACCAGTATTTTTCTCATAAATACTGTCAAAAGAGCGTAATTTAGTTTGAGTTTTTTTTTTAATTACCTATATTTTGACTACTATTAACAAAATTAATACATAATTTTATCTTACTTTAAAAGACAGATAATGTAACTGGTAAAAAAAATGTTGGAAAGATGATTAATATTAAAAATATCACATGTTAAACCTTTAAAACACTCTCCTGTAAAATTTGTAAGTTTTCAGATTATACAGTTTTAATACAAGAAAACGATATTTATAACAATATACGGATACGGCCAATATTTCGTCTGTCTATAAAACAGGCATTGCTGAAGTCCATAGGCGACGGTAATCACTCAGCATCAGGTAGGCCGTATACTCGTCTGCATACAAGGGCAATAAAAAAAAAAGCTTTCTTATAGGCAAAGTTTACGCAATATTCTTGGGACCAAATGCTATTTAAGTTTGGCAATTCATACCTGTTTTATTTGAACACAGAAAACCTATATTTATCCGCATCTAAATCTTGGTGACTCTTAAACGCGACATTAGGCATGTCCTCGTCTAGATAATTTTTTACTAATAACACCAATAGTTCATAGTTCTTAATAAAATGTATGTGAACATACTAGAACTAGCTAATAGGTATTTTAATTCCAGTATCTCGTCCCACTGGAAGGCAAAGACTCCTAACCCTCAGACACAGCCCACCGAGTTTCTCGCTGGATCTTGCCCCGTGAGCTCACCTACTAGTTAAGGTTACGCTGAAATAGCCTCTCAAGGTTATCAGCTTAGATAGGAAAAAAAAACTGTAAGACCCAAACCAAATTGAGTTGCTTTTGGGCATACTTAAAGTATTTAGTGCTAAGAAATTACTGTTCTAACATATTTTATATCTTTTTTTACTAACTTCATTCATAGACCTTAAAGAATGAAATGAAATTACGCGAAAAATCAGAATGAGCACGAGAAGGGAAGACGGTCGTTTTACAATTAAACGGGCATCGCGGCAATTTAAATACAACGACGCAGAAAAACGGACCTTATGAACGCAGACGTAAGGTACACTCGAGACGATCGTGTTAAATGTTATGGACGTCATCGAATGAGGTTCATTTAAAACAAGATTGATCGTGGTAGGGTTCAGTGTGAACCAGTCGTTGCTGGTTTTTTATGGTTTGAAATCAATTTTAAGGTTTTTTTTTTGAGTTTCCATTAACCATTTACTCAGAGATGAAAGGTTTTTGAGTATAACCATAACGAGAACTGATATTAATTTTAAAAAAGCAGATTATAATAAATTTAAAAATCAATGAGAAAAATACTACACTAAGATTTTCGATACGACTACCTTTTATTAAGCAATAATAGCAGATAATGTGTTAATACTTTCATATTTTATGTTTTCAAGGTACAATTAATTATAGTAATCAAAAAAATTCCAGCAGCCAATTAAAATATTTTCAAGAAGTTAATACAAATAAAATAAAAAGTCCATTCAATCTTAAAATCAATTGAAAATTAAAAAGAACCAACTCACCAAAACTCACTTCATATGCGCTAGGCTACATGGCGAAAAACGGCCATCGTTTTTCAAACGAATTCATTGCAGAAAAATATAATTAATAAACGGACGGACAGGCGAAACAGAAGCTAAATACGTAGCTCACTTGGCGCGTACAAATCCGACGGGAGTCTGGTTAGAAGTGGACGCATGATATTTGTCACAATGAAGGGGAAGACACAATTGGTATGCTGAACCGTTTGACCGCTTAAATGGTGTGTACCATTTTATTTGGGATTTCGAAACATGTCGTGGAAGAAGAAAATTGGACGTCAATTTAAAAGTGTGCAATAAAACGATGGAAATATTCATAGGACGGACATTTTTAGTTTCAAAAACATTTCTAAATTATTTTGTTTCTTTATTTTGGCTAAAACAGATTCATTTTCTAGATAGCCCAATTGATGTTAAAGATTTAATTGGTCCAAACCCCTAAAACCTCTACATAGTCTTGTAAATTAAGCTGGTTAACTAACTAGCTAAAACAATAAATAAATTTTGTAACCACGACAATTAATTTTCATAAAATTTTAACGATAAGACTGTTTTACGTTTACAAATTTGAACCCTTAGTTATCCACAGCCGAATAAACACCTTCCCGATACCGTACTACCTCCTTCTCCTTGCGTCGATAATCCTCAATGTTGAGGGCCGTGGCTTCCTCTAATAACTTTCTCTTGAATTATCCTGCGCCAATCCTACAATTGATATCTTAACTCGTTTAAATCAAAATGAGTACTGCAACTTCGTTAAGCAGTTTTTTTCCTGCGGAACCCGTCACGTTGTTCACAGTTCGCGATTACCGGCAATTTATTAGAGCCTCACTGATCGAAGTGTAACGGCGTGGCTTGATGACGTCATGTCCAATTTGGACTTTCCCATTAAATGTTTCCGTATTTTCTTACATATTTTTATTTATAACTAGCTGACCCGGTAGACGTCGTAGTGCCTCAATCGATAAATAAAATACCTAAACTTTTGTATGAAATAACCTTAAAACAAACAAAAGGAATCTGTCCGACGGAGGGGACATGAAAGGAAAAACAAAATTGCTATTTTTATTTAATACCGAGCATTTTCATATTTATTACTTTACTTTTAAACCTTCTCTGGACTTCCACAAATAATTCAAGACCAAAATTATCCAAATCGGTCCAGCCGTTCTAGAGTTTTAGCGAGACTAACGAACAGCAATTCATTTTTATATATATAGAAGATAGAAGAAGAAGAAGATAGAAGATAGATTTATAATTTTTGTATAGTCCACATAACCAAGGATCATGACCCGTCTGACGACTAATCATGGCCAAAAGCGGACAATTCGAACTATGAAGTGTGATTTTTTTTTATTGCCCTTGTAGACGAACATACTGCTAACCGGATGGCGAATGGTTACCGTCGCCCATAGACTTCAGCAATGCCAGGGGCAGAGCCAAGCCGCTGCCTACAAATGTCGAAACGCTTAGAATATGAGATTGAAGTCTCAATTTATATTAGAAAGAAATGATATGATATGATATCAAATAGTGGAGAAACACAACACTAGCTGGATATATAATAAATTATTTCTAATATAATAATCTCTAAATAGATTTTATAACATTCTTGCTGTTTTACATAAATACGATAGATTAACAAGAAATCGAGTACGTCCATTAACATTTATTTAGTTACACCAACAAAGGGATCATCAATACAAAACTGACAAATTCACAATTACTACATGATGTCAACTCAATTATTATAAGTAAAACTTGATTACATTTAATTAATTATGGTTAGGTTATAATTAGTTGGGAAATTAAGGATGGAAATTAGTTCAGCGAAATCGGACAACTTCGAATGAACATTGACGGAGACCGCGCTACCGTTGACATTATTACTACAATAATGATTCTGTCAGAGCAAGCATCCAAATCCAAGCGAACTGGGTAACTAATAAACGGTTTATATTGAAGCACATTAATAACTGGCCACGAAACTATAAAGTTACAGACTGACGTGGACGACAAAGCCATTTTACGAAAATTTAGAATTTCCAAATAAAGAGCGTTAGCAACTACCCACAAATTAGCGATTAAGATGGCCCGGTATTATTATCGGGTTTACACTATCGCGATTCTTTGGCGTGAAACATGTGAATAGCGTTATTACGACGAACCAAGGCCATTTCATGCCAGCATCTAATTAACCATGAACGACAATTGACATACTGATTTTATCTTTCTCTGACGAATGCTTTTGTGGGACTTCTTTTCATAGTGTAAGGTTTGTTGTAAAATAATTAAATTTGTTAATGTTAAGGCAATTTTCGGATTGCCAAATAGCAACGCTGTTGGTGGGAGCAATTACAGTAGTGGGGACGTGACATAATAAAAAAAAAAGCGGTAGTCTGAAAAAACGGGACAGAAAGCAGTGTATTCAGTAGTGAGCAGATATCTAAAGATTGTACAAGTGGAGTTACAAATAAAGCAATACAGAATTAAGTGAACTATTGCAATCTGTGTATTTATTTCCTAGCTTTGGAACTCGAGTCTTACAATAGTATGACGTCATTATCTTCTGTTTCTTCTCAGTCGTATGTATCACTCTTGACAGAGTGGTCGTGACCGTCATGTGGTGTTGGAGGGTGTAGGCTTGACGGGTCTCAGGATGTCCCGTCATCTCTTCGCCTCTGCGTCCCCCATTTAGTGGGTTAAAATAACAGTAACTATCCAACGGGGATTTAGGGGACCTCTCACTGTAGTTTTAATGTGGTTGGTCCACCGCGTTGGCAATTGGTTTGTGAATAAATGTCTACGTCAAATTTCGAAAATCTGAACTGAGCGTCTTGGGTATGACGTGGGAGGAGGTAGAACAGACTGTCCAAGATTGATGAAAATGGAAGAATTTGATTCGAGCCCTACACCCTAGCAAAGGGTAATAGGAAAGAAAGAAGAGACTGCATTGGCGACGTCATAATATACCAGTGGTTGTCAAATTTCCGCGACATCACTGAACGCATTGAGCCAGTGCCAGTAAGTTTTACCACAGTCTTGCCATGGATTGGTCATGCATTCCGATCCGAGTGGTAAAGTTCGTATTTCTAACACTCCCCGCAATCAAAGGACTTCGAACTAATAGTAAGCACGCGCGGTAGCCAATTAACATCAAATATTCTGTTTAGCTATATCCAGCATTTTAGATACGGTGATTAATATAAAAAATATTGTTTTCTGAGGGTGCCTCGAGTGGGGATATGTCCTATCCGATTCTGCAAGTTCCCGATATAGGTAACGAGCTGTAGATCTTAAAACTACTGTTAGCGACATCTATCGCCGAATAAAGTCTATTAAATACCTTAACCCTTTTAGTACTGAGTTTGTTTTCACATAGTTTGCAGAAATTGCTAAAGGATTTTTGATGAAAAGTACCTTAAAAATATATATTTAAAAATCAAATCAAATCAAAAAAGTTTTATTCAACATAAATGAAAGTACATACTTGTTGAACGTCAAAAGAACTACCGCCAATTCACAAGAACTAGCCTCCGTCCTGAGAAGAATTGGCAAGAAACTCAGCGGACATTTCTTTTTTTTTTTTGAAATATTACATTTTTTTTTTAATATTAGATTATTTTAAATATTCATTTTTACAATAAGTAATTATAACATAACGATTATTACAATATTGAAATGCCCGGATCGAGCAACTCATTCCCACTTTGTGCAATCTTCTAGATAATCATTGACTTTATTGTAAGCTTTATTGCACAGATGTTCTTTAATAGTTTTCTTAAACCTATGTATATGTAGGTTCTGAATCTATGATAAATTCGCAGCAAAATAATTTTAAATCGTTATTTATGAATGTAATTAACATCGTAAAGACATTACACGTGCGCGCGCTAAGACACTTATGTACGTACCGGTCGATATCTAATACCTATAATCAAACTGCGTAAATAGTCTATATATATATATATATATATATATATTTTTTTTTTGCTTAGATGGGTGGACGAGCTCACAGCCCACCTGGTATTAAGTGGTTACTGGAGCCCATAGACATCTATAGCTTAAATACGCCACCTACCTTGAGATATAAGTTCTAAGATCTCAAGTATAGTTACAACGACTGCCCCACCCTTCAAACCGAAACGCATTACTGCTTCACGGCAGAAATAGCCAGGGTGGTGGTGCCTACCCGTGCGGACTCACAAGAGGTCCTACCACCAGCACAGTATATTCTCACATTAAGAGAGAGTCGATCTATCGACGGTTCGCGCTGAAAGGGTTAATCGCGCTACGACAGACATCATAACGCCAATGTCACCACCCGCCTCGCAAATGTCATCAGCTATCCACTATTAGAAAATAATTATTGAAAGTGACAAATAATACATTGTGCACCAAGGGAAAAAAGTTGGACATTTCCTCCCGCGTGTAAAATGGCCACCCGAGTCGAAGGAGAGGGTGGCAAAACGTGGCAGGAAATGTCCAACTTTTCTCCCGCGGTGCACATACTATTTTTTCTCCTACAAGGTCGAAAATTCGTGAAGTACCGAGCCGGGGTCCAGGGGCGAAGCCCTAGGTAGGAGAAAAAAAATTAAACGAAGTAGGTAGGTATCACAAAGAAAGTTTTATTGATTTAAAATTGAAGCAATTCAAAATTTCATAATATTACAAAAACCCGGTAAACACTTCAAAACAATGATTCAATGATTCAATACATTGCAATTTCGTCTTGGATTTTAAGCCTCCCAGCGGCGTGTCTAATGAGAAGAAAATCTTTTTAGCTCTTGCATGCACTAAGCCCATAGAGCACATAATGCATGGTTCTCTTAATAAATAAACATAATATCCTGTACACAAATAAGGTGATTCAGCAGTGCCACTTCTAGTCCCATACTGTATCTTGAATTTTTCTTTCAAATCTTCTTTTAAAGTATCGTCAATGTCTATTTTCCAAACACCGCCTTCTTGTGTTTTCGCTACATTATCTATGGCCAACATTGCCGGATGTTGTAAAGGATGTTCGTGTCTATTATCCACAGCCAGAGTCACTACAGAGTTTATGGTCGGGTCTACGACGACAGCAGCATTGAAATCACTCTGTAAAATATCCTCATAAGATTTGATGTTAAAGTACCATTTTACGATCTCGAATGTCAAGGCCATATATATTCTGTGATTTCTCGCTTCACTCTGTTTGAAAGGCTGATCGCTCATTATTGTCTCAATATAATGATTCGGATGGAAGTTAAGTGACCAGTGTCTCAAGTTTTCCATGTACTGCTTTCTCGTTAACGGTGGAGTTAAAGGTACGGTGGCTTCCCTGAAATATTCGAAGCAATCCTTGATTTCTGGTATATTACGTTCAATGTATTCTTGAATTGATTCTTGAGTGTCGCTGTTTAAGAACGAAACAGGAGATAATAATATATCCTTTTTCCGGACACGCTTCAGGTGAAGCAGATGTTTCAATGGTAATTTCTCATTGAGTATTTCAAATAGCTTCGATATGTCTTTAGGCTGTTTTACATGTCCGATAAAGACTTTTATTAGTGGTAGCGTCTGGTAATATTCATCACCTAAAATAATTTGTGGCTGATTTTTGGAGTTAATTATACTGTCTATCAAATTGTCTATGCCTGTTTGATTTTTGATCGTGATACTGTTTATGCTGTCATCAATTCTGTTTCTTTTCACTGGAGGTTCCATACCTTGTCTATTGTATTCTTTCTTCACACTGAAAATAAACAATTTCACTGCTGTTTGGTTAAATCACTGTATTCACTATTCAATACACACACGTCACTCTTTTAAATCGAAATGTATTTTTTAAAATATTATATATCACATCATAAAATTCTATGAAGAGCTAAATTTATGAAGTTTTAAATGTTAAAACTAGTCAGATGCTGCTTATAACACATCAATGGTTGTCTATATACCATTATGGTGTGTGCATAGAAAAAAACAAATGTTGCTTCTAGCTTAAATTTAATATCATCATTTTAAATGTGGTTCTGAAGATGCTTACGAACGGGAACCGGGAGTAAAAAATATTCCTTTAGAAAATAAATTGGAAATAAACTTATTTCATTGGAGTTTGATGATATTATTCATATTGCAATTTGATAATTAAGATTAAGGCCATGATTAGGTTAGATAATAATGAATTACCTCTATAAAGATTCACTTTGTTACATTCATAAAAAAAAAATTATGGTTGTTATTGGCGTTAAAATCTTTTTTTTTCTATATTTCTGGATACTAGATGACCTGGAGTACTCCATATCAATGAACATAGCTAAACTTTATTTTTTTAATGTTAACTAACATGAATAAACAAATGCAAAAGTGACTGTTTTAAAAACTAGTAAAACATTAATGTAGTGAGAATTTTTTTGGTTTATTTTATAACGCATTACATTAAAAATGTATACTGTAGAACAATAACATTCGAACCCATTAATGAGATAATCCCTTATCTACTATAAAATATTAAGAAAATATTTCACAGCACTATGTGTTTTAATGTATTGAGATTATGAGATTCTCATTAATTTTTTACGTGATTGCTCTTTACTACTATTTATTACTATATACTCAACAGGTTATTTTTTTTTTTACATATATTAAAGAATAGATTGTTAATTTAAAATAGCGTAAATAAAATCGTATAGAACCGAATCGGTTTTGTTAATTTGAAGTCGAACCGATAATTATGTAATGTTTAAACCATAAATTTGCATATTCAATTCGTTTCGTTGATAAAATACGTGTTAAAACAGAGAAATAAATTTTAAAGTTACCTGATTTTTAATCCTTCAGTTCTTGTGCCCGATTTCAAGCTTTCGCTACAAGATTTTTGTTAAAATGCGAAGTTGCTTTGATTTACTATTTAGCATAAAATTCACGATAATTTACATATTCATCAACATTTAAGAGCTTCAATTTGTCACACACGTAAATTACGAAAACTTAGCAGCCATGACAGGTCGGTAACTTGTTTCGGTTTTCAAAACGTGGTCACAACAATAAAATAGAAAAATTGTTATTGGCGTAAAGAATAAAATTGCAGATTTGTCCAATAAAATTTTGTTAAATTAATGTCAAAGTTCTTGATGATCGCACAGAACAAATCAGTTGGGACTTAAAAATGCTTCGTTACACGCAGCATTGCAGAACAAAATCATTGACATGTACTTGACTACTGTAGTCTCTAGGCTAATTGGAAACAGTAGCTTTACTATATCTTTGCATGAGTTCGTAAATCGCAGTCACCGCTTATGTACTTATATTTGCGTTCGTTGACAGCCAAAGAATCAAAATTGAGTCAGCAAAAGATTAATCTACCGAACACCCAATCTTCGACAATCGGTATTTTAGTACCTTTGACACCACTTAACACTAATCTGTTTACATGGACTATAATCTCTTGTCCCTTGAACCAATTAAATTTCTGTTTGGAGAACTAAGAAAGCTCACTGGCCGATGCTTGCGATGCCATTAAATAGTTTTGATCAATTGTGTAATTTTCACCAAGCTTATATTATGTTGAAACTAAGTTCGTTGGAACGTATTTGGAGAAAAATCGACACTAGTCAGTCTAGTTTTTCAGTAGATGAGCTTCTGAATATAACTAATTTCCTAGAAGGGAGTAGACCGTTAATATGAGCTTTCAAATACGAGGTGGTTAGAATTGAGGAATCTCAATTCCGCTGTATTCATTTATATGCAAGATATGCGTACAAAAACATGTACAGATTTACCACTTATTTAGATAACAATCGGGAAAGTTGATTCCATATCTCATTTTTATAACTGCTACTTATAACGACACAGGGAAGATCTGCAATCGATTTTTACTACCCCATAGTTCGACGGACGGCGTTCTAATTCGGAACTTGTAATTGAATCTATAGTAGTAGGTAAGTAAGGTATATACTTCTTTAAGTATATACTTCAGGATTTTAATTTCAGCAAAGCAACCCTATCCGAGAGGAGTACATGGGGGCTTAATCCACGGGCTATGGACTCTACTAGTCATTTACTATGCAATGCGTAAGTTTAATACGCATACATATTTTCCCACACCTATCTAAGTATGGAATCTTTTTTCTTTTCTTAGATGGTTGGACGAGCTCATAGCCCACCTGGTGTTAAGTAGTTACGGGAGCTCATAGACATCTACAACGTAAATGCGCCACCCACCTTGAGATATCAGTTCTAAGGTCTCAGTACAGTTACAACGGCTGCCCCGCCCTTCAAATCTAAACGCATTCACCGCGATCACACCGCTTCACCGGTGTGACAGGCGGTGGTACCTACCCATGCGGACTAACAGGTCGTCCTACCACCGGTAATGAAGCAAATTATAATTTTGCGGGTTTGTTTTCTCCTACACGATGTTATTCCTTCATCGTGGAAGTAATCATGAACATTTGTTAAGTACGTATTTCATTAGAAAAATTGGTACCCGCCTGCGGGATTCGAACACCGGTGATTCGCTACATACGAATGCACCGGACGTCTTATCCTTTAGGCCACGACGACTTTACAATCCTATCCATCTTCACATCTTACCATAATGTTAGTGACTTTAATGTTACTGACGAAATTCACGATCTTTGAATTACCGTTTTATTTTTTCATTGGGATTGCGCAAATAAATCAAAAGATATTACTCTATAAAAGCCATTTTATTTCTGGTAACCCATTGAATATGTAAAATATTGGATAAGTTTTCGATTAAACAAGTTCTTGAAATGACGATAAAGACGATATTTTACTGACTCTCCAAAGCCTGATACCAAGCCTGGCAAGTTTCGGTAGTGATTTCACATAACGCTGCAATCGCTCTGCCCGAAGAATCATTCTCTGGAATTAAAAATTAAACGCTATTGACAACGGCACTAGATTAAAATTTCAATAATCTACAGATGTATCTACATAAGTACAAAAGTTTGGCTTTTCATCGTTCACCATCCTCGTGGGACTTGTCAATCACGACGAAGAGTTCGACGAGCGACTTAACCCATAGACACAGACCACTAAGTTTCTCACCAGATCTTCCCAGTGGCTCGCGATTCCGATCCGGTGGTAGATTATATCAAGCAGTACACTTGGTAGGGATTATAATGTTAGCAAATTCTCTGAGGTTGAGCCCGTGAGCTCACCTACCCATCCGCGTGAAGCTGGAGTAGCCCCTTAAGCTACCAGCGAAAAGGTGGGGGAAAAATATACAAAAAGGGGACACTAATCTACAGGTCTATCTTATCACTAATCTTACCTATAATACATTTAAAATCCATCTTAATATTTAATTAAACTTGGGGGTAGTAAGTAATATTGAGAAAATTATAGATAATTTACCTTTTTTTAAACGTTCTTACCTACGTTATTTCGCTTCCCGAAAATCGATCCGTTGAAAGGTGGTTTTCTGTACGTTGCTTCAATTGTTGCCAACGTCAAAATAATCATGAGAAACATGAAATAAATCAGGTCGGCGCGCATTTTGAAGCTGTAAAAGCATCAAGATTTAGAGTTTTCAAAAAATACATCTATACTAATATTATAAAGAGGAAAGATTTGTTTGTTTGTTTGTATTGAATAGGCTCCGAAACTACTGAACCGATTTGAAAAATTCTTTCACTGTTTGGAAGCTATACTATTCCCAAGTGACATAGGCTATAATATTTTTCGAAAAAAAATTAGGGATCCTTACTAAAATTCCAATAATGTAACCCAAGGTGTAAAAAAATGACCTAAAATATTCTTTACATCGCGTGCCCTGCGAAAACGATTGATAATATTACTTGATTAAACTATTGATTGAAAATAATGTACTACGACTTTGTAGAACACTTTATTATTTACAAAAATTGTCGCGGCGGCATAATATGTCTTACTATTATAATTATGCCGAAATAAGTGTTCTTTTATTTTTAAACATAAAACAACTTCAAATATCGTTGAAATTTTGATTAAAGACCCGAGCGGAGCCGGAGCGGGCCGCTTGTACTACATATATTTGTAACACACAACATGTCACAACTATTTAAATAGTCATCTGGTCGTATATATACTGTAACATAAAAATAAGAAAAATGAATTTACAAAAAAAATAATGTAAAATTAAAAGTAGCGCTTAAAACTCACAAAACCGAATCGAATTAGTGGCTCGTGAGAGTGTTTCTAAGGTATGATGTATGGATTTCAGTTAAATAAATCTAAATCGGGAAAGTCCAATCCTTTGTTAAAAGCAAAAACATTTAATTCTCTAGGTAGTCACAAATAATCCATGTGCCTTATAGTGACTAGTGACCTGTATTGATTTTATTATGTATATTGCTTAGTGTTTGACCGTCCCGACAATGAAGTCCAATCCCCAACTAAAATATTCTTATTACATTACTTACTTCAACAACTGATAATTGTAGAAGAGTTTTCTTAACTAAAAGCTATGTTGCTTTTGGAATACTGATGACGTTGTCGTCTTTCGCTTGCTTTTATACCACACCACTCACAACCTACTTTATATTTCCACCAAGAGTGCGAGCAGGACCCAAGTATTATTATCGAAGCATAATTTTATTATCTTTCATCATTTGCCAAGAAATTGTTGTGTATTTAGAAAATAATTGAATTGTGCATAAAGGCATGCTACTATGAAATGAGTACTGGTCACACTAGCATACTTATACTGTGTCCCGCGGTTCCACTTGCATTAAATTAGAATTTTAGAGCCCATTCTAGCGAAGATTTACTTAGTTAATTAAAATACTTATACCTATTTTGAGTCATTTTTTAATTTCCTGTTTCCGCTATTATATGGACGTTATGATTATCTCAAAAGTTATTTCTATATTATAACGAAATGTGACTATTTTTTCTTTTTCGTTAATTCGAAACTTTCTCAAATGAGGATTTTATATTTTAGTGTAAATGTACAAATGTTGCAACAATAAAATTTAAATGATATAACCAAAAGCGGATGGAGTAAAAGAAACACAAAAACAAACAGAAAAAACTCTCCCTAAGGAACGTAGCAATGAATTTACTCCTGGAGTCGTCGTGGCCTAAAGGATAAAATGTCCGGTGCACTAATATCTAGCGATGCACCGGTGTTCGAATCCCGCTGGCGGGTACCAATTTTGTAATGAAATACGTCCTTGACAAATGTTCATGATTAACTTCCACGGTGAAGGAATAACATCGTGTAATAAAAATCAAACCCGCAAAATTTGCGTAATTACTGGTGGTAGGACATCCTGTGAGTCCGCACGGGTAGGTACCACTAACTATTTCTGCCGTGAAGCAGTGATGCGTTTCGGTTTGAAGGGTGAGGCAGCCGTCGTAACTATACTGAGACCCCAGAACTTATAGCTCAAGGTAGGTGGCGCATTTACGTTGTAGATGTCTATGGGCTCCAGTAACCAGGTGGACTGTGAGCTCGTTCACCCATCGGAAAATAAAATAAAAAATTAACCCAGGGAAGGTTGACAATAAGCCAATGGCCGGTCGTTAAACTCATGCCTTATTTCTATGCATAGTAAGAAGACATACCTCAGCGACCCCCCATTATGTGGGATAAGGAAGAGTAAAAGACGAAGAAGATATCATAGGGACAGTGATGTGAAAAGCTCTTAAGATTTTTTTAACATTAAATAGGATTCATCAATATAGATTTGAATAAGCATACCGTTTCTTTACTTTTTCACCAACAAAAAAAAATCTGAAACAATTTTACTGAAATTTATTTAGCACGCGCTTCCCTTCAATAAAAACAAAACAATATCAAAGAATGTAATTTCTCGTAAATAGAACGGATATTGCAATGAAATTTGCTGTCGTAATCAACTTATTTGTCTCCTTAATAGGTCTGTCATTTCTTATTAATATTAAGGACGTACTCTAGAGAATTTAAAGGAAAGCAATTGTTACAGTTTATTACTTTTAACAAAGAAGTACATGGGCTAGTGATGCACGGCGGCCACTGGAACGAATAGGTGAGCTCACGGAACCTGAGGATGTTGCTAACAATAGCCCTAACAAGAGCAGTTCTTCACTGAATCTACCATCGGATCAGAAACTGTGTCTATGGGTGAATTTACTCGCCGAACCCATCGTCGCAAGCGACGGGTTCCACTAGAACGGTGACCAGTGCTTGAGGTGCCTAAAAGCACCTAATAATGGATCGGGAAGATCCGAAATGACCAGCTTAGGGTGACGTCGACTGTTTACCATTTGGTCCGCACGTTCAGGTATGTAGGCACCGGCGGCCATGACAAGAGGGTTTTCGTGTCGTGCCGCTTTCAATGACGCACTAATGCCGACTGAAAATAAGTATTGATGAATTCAAGCTTCAGATCGTCGTGGAGAGCCACGTTCCTCATACCCGATCCGGTGGAACGAATGGTAAACAGTCGAGGTCACCCCAAGCACGTCATTACGGATCCTCCCGATCCATTAATGGTGCTTTTAGGTACCTCAAGCCTCGGTCATCGTCGTCGCCAAATCTGTCGCTTGCGGCGAAGGGCTTGACGAGTAAATTAACCCATAGACACAGCGCACTGAGTTTCTCACCGGATCTTCTCAGTGGGTCGCGTTTCCCATCCGGTGGTAGATACTGCGAAGTACTGCTCTTGCTAGGACCAGTATTAGCAACACTCCGGTTCGAGCCCCGTGAGCTCACCTACTAGCTCGGTGAATCTAGAAAAACCCCTGGGAGATTACTCGAGTAGGTAGGAAAAAAAGAAAAGAACGATCATGAGTGTCGAACTGGTTTCAAGGATGTCTCACAGCCTAAATACCGTAAGCCACCTTGAAGCGTAAATTCCATGTCTCTAATTTATCGTAGAAGGGCTAACCTACCTTCCAAACCGGAATGGTGTTTGACCCAAAAATGGGTAGAATTTTTTTCGACCTACTCCTAACCTAGCCAGATGGCTTACTAAACACATTTATTAAACTACATATTTGCGTTTTGATCTATTATATATATTATTTCTTGGTCTTGGATATCGTCCGTGGGTTTATATTGTTTGAGATGATCCCGTCATCTCGTTTTCAACTAAAGCCGTCCGAGACCGGAGTAGAGTTTATCCTTATTTACCTCCTCCTCCTTGCGTCGTGTTCCTCAGTGCTGAAGGTCCTGACCTTCACGGAGCACTTTTGTTTGGACTACGTTCCTCTATTCCCTCCCATCCTCTGCACAGTGGATAGCGACATTGATGCTAGAGTCCAACGTCGTCTTCATTTGATCGGATCAGTGCATGGAGTTACGCCCGCTAGGGCTCTTTCCTTCCATTTTGCCGGTGATGAGTAGTCTTTCATCCACAGTTCCAGATATCATTTTTGCTACTTACTATCCAGCTTTGAAATTAACTTCCACGATATTTTCTGAGCGCGAAAAATAGCAGTGAGCAGCGGCTTGACTGTGTCCCTGGCATTTCTAACAAGCATGTCGGACTGTAACCACTCATTCACAGGTGGGCCGCAAGCTCGTTTGCCTACAATGGCACCTATTTCCTCACCATAATTATGGGCAGTCTTCTTCCAGGGAATGTGGTGTGAAAATATCAAAACGTTATAATATAAGTAAGTTTGATTGGGAGTAGTGATATTTACTGAATTTAACGCCATTGTGTATTCAGAACGTTTTGTTTCTCAAATGGATATGAAAATAATGTAGCCCTATTCTTTGATTANAGCTCGTTTGCCTACAATGGCACCTATTTCCTCACCATAATTATGGGCAGTCTTCTTCCAGGGAATGTGGTGTGAAAATATCAAAACGTTATAATATAAGTAAGTTTGATTGGGAGTAGTGATATTTACTGAATTTAACGCCATTGTGTATTCAGAACGTTTTGTTTCTCAAATGGATATGAAAATAATGTAGCCCTATTCTTTGATTATTTCTGAGCTTATGAATATTGAATTTAATAGACAGCTGAATTCACAAAAACTAAGATTACACCCTATACACCCTATGGGACTTAGTTTTCAATATCAGTTTAATTTTATGCACTAACAAACTTAAAATCCCTCTGGGTCCACTGTCAATATGCGGTTAATATCCACTTAATCCAATAATTGAAGGAGCCGAAGGAGGGTATTGCCTCCGACGCCATTTTCTAAAATCTTGGTATAAATTGGCGGGAAACTCGGGATTAGACATCAGTTGACAGCTGACATCGGTCGGGTTACCAAGACAGGAAAAATAACATAAAAGGTAAAATCACGATTTTTTGTTTTCAGTTATTGCACATTTCACACACTGATAATGAGCCAATTGTGAAACTTTTGTGAAAATTATGTATAGTATAATAGGCCTTAATGTAGTACAAGATAGGATTTGTCTTGATATCAGAAGCATTTTAATTTACGCAGCGGTGTCATTTTATCGAATTGAATCCATCATTTTGATTGCGTTAAAATTTTTTCATAATTTCCATTTGGCGCTTAAGGACTCTGCTGCCGTTTTCACTGATTCCATTGGTTCACTTATAAACATTTTACATTTAATTTAAAAAAACTGAACTAAATCGAAAATTTAATCATTTTCAGATGTCGAGAGCTGTAATGAGAATGACAGTCACTTTCTGCATTGTAGCCATTTTGCTGTGTCTGTTGGACTTCAGCGAGGCTAACTACAAAAACGCACCGATGAATGGAATTATGTTCGGAAAAAGGGGACCTACGGGCAAGTAATCTATAAACTTTATCCGAAAAAGTTTTTTTTTATTGCACTTCGGTGGACGAGCTCACGGTCCACCGGGTGTTAAGTGGTTACTGAAGTCCATAAATAAATAAATCATAAAAATAAAACCATAAAAAACAAAAATAAATAAGCCTTGAGACATGAGTTCTATGTTTCAGTTTTATAATACAACGCCTGCGACACCCTTCAAACCGAAACGGAAGTTACTGCTTCATGACAGAGATAGGCAGGGTGCTGGTAACAACCCTTGTGGGCTTTAACGCGCCCTACTACCAGCAATTACGCGAATTATAGTTTCTGTGCAAACGCAATAAGAGCTTTAATCAGTTCGAGATAAAAAAAAATCCTGCAGAAGGACTGAGATTAATTTTCAGACACGATATTCCTTTCAAGTCATGACAGACTCTCTTCCAGAGAGGTTTAGGAAATTTATTTTTGAAAGAAGTATTTAACTACAACGGGCAGCAGCACCACTTATCTGATGGTTTACATGTTAGTCTATCTTACACTGCATTCAAGAAAGGGATAAGGGTCTGTAATAGTATATTATTTTAATAAAGCGTGACTCTTGTGACGGTTAGGCTCAAGATCTAGTTACTCAAACGTTTGGGTGATGCCGTCAGTTTATAAATAAACAATTAAGTTTAAATCACACTAAACATGTTTAACATTGTTTCAGATTATGATTCACGTAGCAAGACTTTCACTGCTTTGTGTGAGATTGCTACCGAAGCTTGTCAGGCGTGGTTCCCGACACAAGAAAATTAGAATATCTCGTAGATTCGTAGATGTCAACAACGGCGACTTGAATAAACTTCAAACAAAATTATGAAAATGAATACATTTTTGTCAATTTTGTATTAGTTGTAGCTGAATGCTTTTTAGGACTAAATTCTTTAATTCTGAGTCTTTATAAGAAATATATATAGAAGTCTATATAGAAAGCTGGGGTTTTTCGCAAATAAAGGCTTTTGTTAAACAAACTATACTTCATTTGTTTCATTTATTAATTAATTTAGATCACAATAAGTATAGCGTAAAACGAATCGTTTCTTTAACCTACATTTTGAATTTTATTATGGCAGCACCGTGGGAAAACGAGACAATTTACGGAACTTAGAAATCAAGGAAGAAACTACCTACCATTCTCTACACATTCAATTCTTCGTTGTTTTTGTGAACAGAAATTTTTCTTATTAGTATTTTCATTTCCTTGATAGTGTAATAAGACCTTTTCTTTAGTTTGGAATACTACTATTGATTTCGCAAAATGTTTTGCAAAATAGTTGATAAAGCCTGATAACACTGAACGTATGTGAAATGTAAATGTCAATAACAATGCAGTGACGTTTCGTATTTTTTCAGAAAAATAGCAAATTTAATTCTACCTTAGTTTTTTTAATAAAATGTATTTTCGAAGCTATGATCTCGTGGTGAAATGAAAAAGTGAAAAGTGAAAAATTCCTATTTAATTCTTAAGATCCTCCAATAGAAAACATGACAACGAAGGAATTGTACACGAAGGTAATGTTATAAACTCAAATGAATTTGTGGCACTTTGCTAAATTAAAAAAAAAAAATTAAAAAANAATTCTACCTTAGTTTTTTTAATAAAATGTATTTTCGAAGCTATGATCTCGTGGTGAAATGAAAAAGTGAAAAGTGAAAAATTCCTATTTAATTCTTAAGATCCTCCAATAGAAAACATGACAACGAAGGAATTGTACACGAAGGTAATGTTATAAACTCAAATGAATTTGTGGCACTTTGCTAAATTAAAAAAAAAAAAATTAAAAACAAATTTTCGTAAAAAGGGTGAATACATGGAAGAGGTGTTATTGGTTTTTTAAACCGTTCAAAACAATTATAGAAACAATCTGTCAGAACATGAACTAACGAAGTAATAATTAATCACCTTTACTACCTATCAGTCTCATTTTTAAATATCACACTTGCGTGCTTTCGGAAAAAAAGATCTAAGTCTTGTTGTCAATGTTAGACAGTGAAGTGATGTTAAGAAAGTTTTTATTTATTTAATCTCTATTTTAGAAGTCTATAAATATAAAAAAAAATATACACAAATATTTATAAAACAATATTGGACCTGTCAAATGTTTTGTTAAAATTATTCATCAATTTTGTCAAAACTAAATGAATCGAATTTTTTTGTTTTGTCTTGGTCAGAGAGCATACATTAAATTAATAAAACAAATTATTGTTTTCCCATAGGGAAATTTATTTCCTATTAGAAAAACAAAAATAATTGGGACAAGAATATTTTTGTGTACAAAAATAAAAATTCTAAAATATCTAATAGGTATTATGTAATGGTTTAATTCAAATTAACTGTATCAAAGCATTACAATAACAAAGTATATTTTGTTAAAATAACTTGATCACTGAATATAACCTTAGATTTAGTGAGTGTAAAACTTGTGTTTATTTTTACAATGCAATTTTCATATAGAATTTACTTGACATTGGATTGATATTACTAAGAGCAAAAGCACAACTATTAATTACAATACTAAATTTTAAACATATCCCAGAATAAGCTAGTTACCAAGAAATAATGTTTTCAAAATTGTTTATAATTTTTTTGTGGTTGATTGGTAATTGGTAATGTAATCAATATAAGCAGACAATACTTTTGAATTTACCCACTCTAAGAGTTATTGAGATAACTATAAATCGAAAAAATATAGGTACAATAAATAATAATACAGATAATTTGTGAAGGGTCCTATCCTCCTTCCGTCAATAATCCTCAATGCTGAGGGTTGTGGCCTCCTCTAATAACCTTCTCTTGGTTGTGAAGGGTGGCAGGCAATAAATGGATGAGGAGAGCTTAACACAGCTCAATCTTGTAAATTGGGAGAAACCTAAGTCAAGCAGTTGACGACTATGGGCTTATGATGATTATCATGACATGATTATATAGTAACAGACACCCAATAGCTTAGCAGCCATTAGCCTAGCATCCATTAGCCATAAAGTTAGGTCTGACAACTCAGAAGATCTATTTTATCGAAACACATGATAATAATATGATCAAATCTACTCAGATTAAATACAATGGGAACTCTCAATTTTTCCAAATAAATAAGACCTAAATACCTTCCACAATGATTATATTATATTGAATAGCCTTTAACAAAATTTAAACCCTCTAAAAAGGATAAATTTGCATAATTACTAGTGGCAGGATACTGATAGCTCATATGACTAAATCTCGTTATCTTATATATTCCTGTGACAAGGCAGTCAAGGATTCCTGCTTTCCTGTTTAAAGATTAGATAGCCAATACAAGACTGATTTTAGATATCTGGTCACCTACATTTTGACATTTATGTGCAGCAGTAAATAATTAACACCAGAATGACGTAGGATTGACCTCAAACTAGCAGCAATAAAATAATAATTTACAATGCTAATTTTAAAACATAATTAATAAATATCTATTCAATAAAGATGATTTTGTGAATTAGTGTTAAATGAAAAAAAAAATGTTTTTGTTAATTATCATAGTAACTGGTTGCACAAGGAAATGACTGTATGACATCACACCTTGAAAAGTCACGGACTTTTGTGCAATCAGCATTTAGATAATCTTAATTGAAGTGATAAAATGATGTTCTTTTCGTATTTACTTTTGCATTGTTGAATTTTTGCTTGTTCAGTCTGTATTGATTGTTCCCACCTCCCAGTATGTTTCTGGCAATAAACTATGATTATTCAAATGAAACCGAGCTGGGCCATGAGAATCACATTGTATCGTATGAGTAGTGACATTTTTAAATTTGTTTAATTAATAATAATAGTGTTTTATAGTACTTGATCCAAGAACTTAAAGTAATGTAACAATAATATATTTATTTAACAATCACTACATAGTATAAAACAAAGTCGCTTTCTCTGTCCCTATATCCTTATGTATGCTTAAATCTTTAAAACTACGTAACGGATTTTGATGCGGTTTTTTTAATAGATAGAGTGATTGAAGAGGAAGGTTTATATGTATAATATTATAATATCCATTAAATAGTGGAGAAATACTGTTATTTTGAGGTTTTTACTGTGATGTCGTAAATAATCAATAATAAAATGTCATGATAGTATAGTATATATATAAAATACATATATATTTATTTTACTTTTCTCGATGAGTGATGATTCAGGTCCGGTAGTAGATTCTGCATAGCACTGCTCTTTTTAGGGCCAGGGTTAGCAAATTCCCAGGTTGAGCCTATGAGCTCACCTAGTCATAAAGTAGCTGGAAGAGTCCCTTTGACTATCGATGATTTGGTAGGGAAAAAAAAATTATTGATATCTCTGTTCACGAACGATTCCCATGATCTTAGAACAGGTGTAATGCAAATCAAACCAGCTAAATTTGTAAAATTTATATTTGGCTTACGACCAACCTATTGTTAACTGGCCACTGAAGTCCATGGACGTCATAACGTGAATTCCGCCACTCACTTTGAGACATGACGCCCTGATTACATTGTATAACAGTTATACTACCTTTCAAACCAGAACGTATAAAGGCTTCGCGCCAAATACACGAATGATCGTGGAATTTACACGTGCGAGTTCACAGTACGCTAGAAACAAAATAAAAAATAAATAAAAAATCTAGCGTAAATTTGGATCTTCGGACTAGTGCGTTCAAAAATTTATCAATTATCTTACGTACTTAAAAATCTTCACGATTGAATTCCACGGTGAAGGAATAACATCGTGTAATAAAAATCAAATTATAATTTGCGTAATTACTGGTGGTAGAACCTCTTGTGAGTCCGCACGGGTAGGTACCACCGCACTGTCGTGAAGCAGTAATGTATGGGCTCGGGTAACCACATAACACCAGGTGGACTGTGAGCTAGTCCACCCATTTAAGCAATAAAAAAAATATCAGCGGATTGTCTCTTGTATTCATAATAGCCATTAGACATCTTATATGGTCATACAGAATCCTAGTCTAGTTCTTGTGACACCGAATCTTAGATGTGCTGTGTAATCTTCTATCATGATTACTCAAATGTGCCAAAGGAATCTTTTAAAATAAAACACTTGCACCACAATACGAGCCGGCCATGGTGCCACAACCATTTCGCTAATACAAACAATAATGATAAGTGATAAATCAAATGCGATAACGTGAGATTCGGAAATAGATAACTGTCGTGTTACGATATTTGTAAGCGTAAATGATGACAGCGTTTGCGGCTTGAGATTTAAGGGTCTCGTTCTGATTAGCAAAAGTCTATTGGAAAAGTATGTTATATAGAATTTATATGAATTTATTTGTAGTCGTCGTGGCCTAACGGATGAGACGTCCGGTGCATTCGTGTTGAAGCGATGCACCGGTGTTCGAATCCCGCAGGCGGGAACCAATTTTTCTAATGAAATACGTACTCAACAAATGTTCACGATTGACTTCCACGGTAAAGGAATAACATCGTGTAATAAAAATGAAACTCGCAAAATTATAATTTGCGTAATTACTGGTGTAGGACCTCTTGTGAGTCCGCGCGGGTGGGTACCACCACCCTGCCTATTTCTGCCGTGAAGCAATAATGCGTTTCGGTTTGAAGGGTGGGGCAGCCGTTCTAACTATACTTGAGACCTTAGAACTTATATCTCAAGGTGGGTGGCACATTTACGTTGTGGATGTCTATGGGCTCCAGTAACCACTCACTTAACACCAGGTGGCTGTAAGCTCGTCCATCCAATTAAGCAATAAAAAAAAAGTATGTTATATAGAATTTATGAGTTCTACTATATGCTATCTAACTCCGGCCATTCTAACTCTGACACCAGAACTCTATTTAAAAAATTATATATGTCGAGGGATGAAAGGCCGGTCATCGTTCTCGTCGAAGCCGTCGCTAGCTACGAAGGGCTCGGCGAGTAAATTAACCCACAGACACAGCCCACTGAGTTTCTCGCCGGATCTTCGCAGTGGGTCGCGTTGTCGATCCGGTGGTAGATTCTGCGAAGCACGGCTCTTGCTAGGGTTCGTGTTAGCAACGTCGTCAGGTTTGAGCCCCGTGAGCTCACCTACTAGTTACGGTTACGCTGATATAGCCTCTCAAGGCTATTGGTTAAAGCGATATTCTTGCAACAGTACTGGTGGTAGGAGCTCTTGTGAGTCCGCACGGGTAGGTACCACCACCCCGCCTATTTCTCCCGTGAAGCAGTAATGCGTTTCGGTTTGAAGGGTGGGGTAGCCGTTGTAACTATACTGAGACCTTAGAACTTATATCTCAAGGTGGGTGGCGCATTTACATTGTAGATGTCTATGGGCTCCAGTAACCACATAACACCAGGTGGGCTGTGAGCTCGTCCACCCATCCAAGCAATAAAAAAATAAAAAATAAACTTTGCAGTAGACCCATTTTAAAGTTAAGATTTGGAAAAAAATATCTTCTTCTTAGTCGTACACTCTTGACAGAGTGGTCGTGGGCATGCATCAGTCGGATCCTGCGATACCGATGCTCTCGCGATGCGACGCCATGCGGCAGGGTGTTTCGCAGAGTGAGGCAATCATTTATGTTGGAATGAGTCACAGATTTTATGAGGTCGGTCCATCGTGTTGGAGATCGTGCGAAAGATCTTTTGCTCTCGACTTTGCTCTCGACCCACCAACTACTCAACGGGAGTCGTCATGTGTGTGAGTGATGTCCCTGAAGAACTTGAGGAGTCGTATTTGGACTGTTGACGATAGTCTCTTCTTGATGTTGAGCTCTTTCAGGATCGAAACGTTGGTACGGTGCGCGGTCCACGGAATTCTGAGGAGACGTCTCCAACACTGCAATTCTAGTGCGTCAATCTTACGACGTTTTTTTTTTATTGCTTAGATGGGTGGGCGAGCTCACAGCCCAGCTGGTGTTAAGTGGTTACTGGAGCCCATAGACATCTACAACGTCAATGCGCCACCCACCTTGAGATATAAGTTCTAAGTTCTCAGTATAGTTACAACGACTACCCCACCCTTCAAACCGAAACGCATTACTGCTTCACGGCAGAAATAGGCGGGATGGTGGTACCTGCCTGTGCGGACTCACAAGAGGCCCCACCACCAGTCTTGCATCCTCAGCATCCCGTCTCAGCCCTATACAGAAAGATTGGAAAGACCAGGCATCTCATTAACTGAACTTTTGTGTTTTTGGTTATTCTGCGGTCTCTCCAAATCCTTGTTAGTCTCTCAACTGAGAATCTTGTCACGCCGTAACGTCTTCTGATCTGATCTACAGGAAAATAATAATATTAAAAAAAAAACTTCGTCAGCTATTTCAATGGAATACTCCATCTTCCACTTAATTGATTACTTAATTAAAACATCGAACTGTTGACGCTAATATCAATGCTTTAATTACAAAGATAAATGTCGCTTAAACAAAATAGCCTTTCATCTTTCGATAGATACACTTTAAAAACATTAAAGCCTTCGTCAAACAGAACGCGTAATTAGCGCGCGTCAGAGCGCTGAACTGACGCCGCGCTATGACGCCGAGATGTGTTGTATTACTAATATGGTAACATACCGTCAAACAGAGCCCCAGCGCTATAAGTACGCAACGCTCTGTCGCGGCGTTGGGACGCTTTGACGTCAGACGTTGTAATTTTTTACAAATTTTATTTTAGCGTCCGAGTGAATGTGTATTAAAATACTAGAACATGCCCGAAAAAATGATATAAATAGTTAGAAAATACCCATGCTTATACAATGCCACATCTGAATCACTCGATTTCTTAATACTTTTAAATTTTCACACTGCTATCGAAAGGCACTATGATTTGGCGAATGCGTTGCGTCAAGGAGCGTTAGACTCATCTGGTCAATTTGAAGAGCACGACGTTAAGTACGCGGCGCTAAGTACGCGTTCTATTTGACGAAGGCTTAAAACACTAACTGACAATTTGGTTTTTTTATTTATTTCGTTGATACCAGTCGGTATGTTAGACTGAAGGTATAAAATGATTGTCTCGTAATTACGTTAGATTCAAATAAACATATACCCACTTAGGGCATAATTATTATGAGCCTATGCGGGTAGGTTCATGCTAACAATGTCGGGGATCACACCTATTTTTATCTTTGAATACGACTTAAACGATGATCATGATCTTCTTCTTAGTCGAATACTTCATTGCTGAAGGTCGTGTCCCTGAAAGCCCTTCGTGGCTCTTTGTACCATCAGCTTCCATTTCCTTCGGTTTTCTGTTTCTCTCAGGGCGCTCGCAACAGAGAGTCCAGTGAGCGCAGTTATCTGATCTGACCAACAGCTTGGTGGCCAGCCGGCGGGTCTTTTCCCTTCTTGCCCACCGCAGTCAATCTTTCAGGGTTGTCTGGTGGCCGCCGAGCAATATGGCCAAGGTGGCAAGGTGTTAGTTCCTTAGGTGTACTAAGGAACCAAGAATGATGAACTGATATTTATTTTTGTTCCAGGGTGCCAGGATATGGGTGGAGCACCCGGAGAAGGTGTGGGAGAGCGCAACAGTAACATCCGACTATCGATCCGGCGTTCTCATCGTGAAACTAGACCAGACAGATGAAATAAGACAAATAACGGTAATTATCTTCAATCAAATCAAATCAAACCAAACCATAATTCGGGCTTTATAGCTTAAGTTTGCCACCAGTCAGTCATACCTGTCTTAATTGCCAGTGCGAACTACTAAAAAACGTGGGCAGAATTCACTGCACAGAATAGAAATGAATCACTTTGAAATATTCTATCTCGTTCTACCACAGGCCAAATCTTATAGATGTAAAAGTTTATCTCTTTCTAGTGTCGCATTTCGCATGTCTTTTCGTCGAGTTTCAAATCACAACTGTTACTAAATTAAGAGATTGTGACTTCATAGATCTAACAGCTTCATTTGCTTTCATTAAAATTACTAGATGATGAGATTTTTTTTTGATAGCGCCATCTTGTTTTGTCTTTAAAGCGGTTAGTTGCCCTCAATTAAGAAAAATAGTATTATTATTCGCCAATAGATGTCGGGAAGAGTTGATTATTGAAAACACGAATAAAACAACATCTTCTGAAAATAAATCGTAGCTATAATAGATCGATTTATCGCCCCCGAAATCCCCTGTATACTAAATTTTATGAAAATCGTTGGAGCCGTTTCCGAGATTCAGATTATATATATACAAGAATTGCTCGTTTAAAGGTATAAGATTAAGCTGTGTGGTGTCGGTCTATCGGTAATAGCATTACCCTATCCCTTTTCTGCGAGTATCATAAATAGTGGTTGAGGAATTCGTCCAAGAATGGGCAGTAGCATTTTGCGAGTATTATACCAGCGTAATGCAATCGTCAGCTGGAATTCACTGGTGGTGGAAAGAATTCTGAGCCCGCTCGGAACGGATGCCTCATGCTTTGTTAATCAGAGGAGAATGACCAATATATCGTCCATCATTAAGGACTCTTCAAAAATTCGTTTCATGATACCCGTATCTGGCACTGAGCAGACAAACAGCAGTCGCGCCGTGTAGTCTGCCTGTCTGACCGAATTGGCTGTCTAGACACGATTTACAGCCAAATTGTTATGGCTCCTCCAATCCATATAAATAAAAGTCGATTAGTGTATGTATGTTCCCTTTAGACGTTTTACTGGTGGTAGGACCTCTTGTGAGTCCGCGCGGGTAGGTACCACCACCCTGCCTATTTCTGCCGTGAAGCAGTAATGCGTTTCGGTTTGAAGGGTGGGGCAGCCGTTGTAACTATACTGAGGTCTTAGAACTTATATCTCAAGGTGGGTGGCGCATTTACGTTGTAGATGTCCATGGGCTCCAGTAACCACTTTACACCAGGTGGGCTGTGAGCTCGTCCACCCATCTAAGCAATAAAAAAAAAATAGTGCATGTATCTTCCCTTTGGATCGATTTCGGTGAAATTTTCATGGAATCTTCAAATTGGTCTAGTGGCTGAGCTTAGTGGCGATTGGACCAAAGGCAAATAAAAGATCGGCCAGCAAGGTCTTTGACTGGTTAATCATTAAACGTTAGGGAATCCGGTAATGTATAGGTTGCAATTTTTTTTATACTAGTGGGCCCCCGATTGTCGAAATTCGACAACATCTAATTGAAATTATAAGTTTAAACAAATAATAATAATAAAGACAAACAATATTTAATCTATTCTCAATTTGACCACAGACCGTAAGCAATAAGAAAAGTTTGACAATAAGCATGCGTATGTGTCAAATACATAGCAGTGTGTGTAATGGTTTTATTTATTGATTTAATGTATTTTTTATGTATAATTTAAAAAAATATTAACATTCTGCACTCCTTCTCTATATTCTCTATAAGTGTGAGAAATTTCATACACATCCGACCGCGCAATTTTCGTTAAAAGGAGTACAAAGTTTTTGCTTCACCTATTAAATATATAGATAGTCGCAAACTCATATACTGCAATATGGGATGGTTTTATGATCAGATTGAGGAGCATGTTCTTTCGTCCTTGTGCATTTAATAGGTACCAGAAATCCATACCGGACTTGAACAAGCACAGTCTATCCAGACCCAAAAAGCAGCTACCTATATTTAAGAATAAATACTGGCTCCAATCGGGAATCGGATATTTGGATCGAACATAACGAATCTGTCGCGAGTTAAATTTTACTCTCGACACACCTAAAGAAGTTTCACTTCAATAATGAATGTAACAAATAAAAGGAATCCCCTCCCAAAAACGGTTGATTTTTTTTTTAAATTCCAATCTCATTTCGCAGATCAAAGATGAGAAACACATGCCCCCCCTCCGGAACCCGTCGCTCCTCATCGGCCAAAATGATCTAACGTCACTCTCTTACCTCCACGAGCCGGCGGTGCTGCATAATCTTAAAGTCAGGTAAAGTACAGAGGAAGTCCCTTCTTCCATAGCAACTAGCATTGTTGATACCTTATCCCACTAGGTGGGTTGGTACAGCGATTTTTCTATTCCATTTCCATTCTATTCTATTTACTGGTGGTAGGACCTCTTGTGAGTCCGCGCTGGTAGGTACCACCACCCCTCCTATTTCTGCCGTGAAGCAGTAACTTATATCTCAAGGTGGGTGGCGCATTTGCGTTGTGGATGTCTATGTCTACTACTTAACACCAGGCGGACTGTGAGCTCGTCCACCCATCTAAGCAATAAAAAAAAGTATAAGAGAAATAATTTCTCCATAGCAACTAGCATTGTTGATAAGCATCATCGATTTCTTCTTTGTCTCCACCTTATCCCACTAGGTGTTCGGCACAGCGATTTTTCCATATTCTATCGGCCGTCATCTCAACACTCACTCTTCTCTCTCTCATATCGTCATTCACACACTCCATCTATGTCTTCTTTGGTCGACCTTTTCCCCCATCATCATCCATTAATAAGTATCATCGACGCCAAGTATATATGGTAGAATTCAACCATCTCTATCCTCGGCTAATGGATTAGCTAATGGAGGCAGCGGGGTTCTTTGAGGATTATACCAGCATACTTTGATCACTAGAGTTTTGGTGGTGGTTGGTGTATTGTAAATCCGCGCCGACAGTTACCACCATTCGACCTATTTGTGCCGCGAAGTAGTCATGTATTCCAGTTTAAAGGGTGGAACAGCCTAATACAATACAATTGAGATTTCGACCTTATAAATTGAGGCGTATGGTGGAATTTACGCTGTGATCAGGTTACGATGTAGGATGTTCACTAATCAAACAAAAAATCCCGTTGAAAAATCGTGCGATGAGCAATGGAGTAAACATGTATAATGATAAACTAGTGCCGCTTAACCATGAGATGAATTATCAGTGGTGATGTCACGCGATCGCCGCCCCCTTCCGTTGCGGAAGCACTAGCAATAACTGAACTATGCCAAGCAGCCGGATCAACTTATGTTATTCCTAATTGTGAACATTTGTTAAGTACGTATTTCATCAGAAAAATTGGTACTTGCCTGCGGGATACAAACACGATACTAGAATAATACTAAGAAAGCACCGGACGTCTTATCCTTTAGTCCACGACTATTAGGTCGGCCCTAAGCTTTCCCAACCCTGGTACCAGAACACGAAAAAAAAACTCCCTAAAGCCGGACTTTTTTTTTTCCTCCCACCTTTGCTGATAGCTTTAAGAGGCTATTTCAGCTTCACCCTAACATGTAGGTGAGCTCACGGGGCTCAAATCGGAAGTGTTGCTAACACTGACCCTAGCAAGAACAGTGCTTCATAGAATCTACCAATGGATCGGAAACGCGACCCACTGAGAAGATCCGGCGAGAAACTCAGTGGGCAATAGTAATGAAAGAGCGTTTAAGTTCCTTATCGGCTGCACGTACGGTTTATTTGTTGCGTGACGTAATGTATTGTTTTGTGACGTGGCCATTGATAAAACCTTCACGTTTATAATATATATTAGTTGATATACTTGGCTGTCTTTTCGTTGCATAGACAGATTAACTAGTTTACAACCCGCCTTATATTAGCGGGACACATAATCGACATGTGAATTCCACGCTTTATCTTAACAAATAAAGTCGGTGTTCCACTGAGTTTCTCGCCGGGGGTCATTGGGTCGCGATTCCGATCACGTGGTAGATTCAACGAAGCACTGCTCTTGCTAGGTTAGATGTCTTTGCTGACATCCAGCCCGAGCCCCCTAAGCTCGCGTACCGGTCAAGGTGAATCGAGAATAGCTTCTCAAACCACCTTGTAGTTGTGGCCTAAAGGATAAGACGTCCGGTGCATTCGTGTCGAGCGATGCACCGGTGTTCGAATCCCGCAGGCGGGTACCGATTTTTCTAATGAAATACGTACTCAACAAATGTTCACGATTGATTTCCACGGTGAAGGAATATCATCGTGTAATAAAAATCAAACCCGCAAAATTATAATTTGCGTAATCACTGGTGGTAGGACCTCTTGTGAGTCCGCGCGGGTAGGTACTACCGCCCTGCCTATTTCTGCCGTGAAGCAGTAATGCGTTTCGGTTTGTTTGAAGGGTGGGGCAGCCGTTGTAACTATACTTGAGACCTTAGAAAAAAAAACCTACAGATAGGTAAACATAAGTAGGCTCAATTGTTCGCATGGCGGTTGTCACAGCTATCTGGACAGAAGACATGATGAGGTTATCTGCCAATATTATTTAGACCGTAGTCTGCAAGGGTCCTTCATAACCACGAAACATTATATCGTTTATCAAAGCCAATACTCAAGCACAACTATCTTTTAAAAGGATTGCTTTACATCCAAAAGTGTATTTCTTGTTCAACGCTGAATTATAAGTTCGGAATGTTTGAGGACAGCACCTGCGCAAATAAGAACTGTTTTGTTTTTTTTTTACGTATGTACACGTACGCGTACCTAACTGTGATGCCGAGACCGGCTCGAATAATTACGTGGTTCCTCAAATATGTATTTAGAAAATGTGTAATGTGTAATCTTTTTTTATATATAGTAGGGTGAAAAGGCTATTTGGTTTAACCCTTTGACTGTCATGTAGGTCACCGGTGCTCTACACGGCGCACTGAAGTGATTATGTCGATTTCTCTCTTCGATCTTCTTACTAAGACGCCGGAATATCTAGTAGATTCTGGGAAGAATGAATCCGTAAAGGTTTTTTTTTCTCCTACCTATGCTGATAGCCTTGAGAGGTTATTTCAGCTTCTTGACGTGTAGGTGAGCTCACGGGGCCCAAACCGGGAGTGTTGCCAACACTGGCCCTAGCAGGATGTGTGTCTATGGGAAAGAGAATGAATATATTTCTAAGACTTAAACGTACATTTATACAAAGGAAGATGAAGTTGGCAATCCAGGCGCTCAGTAACAGAAATGGACATAATTACTTGAGTGCGCCGCGTAGAGACCTACATGGCAGTCAAAGGGTTAAGGGACATTGCGTTTAATACACGACATTTATTTGTGTAATTAAAGGTGAGTTTTATTTGTTGTTAGCGTCAACAGTTTTTACTCCATTCAAATATCTGAATATGTTTTTCTGTTATGATATCTTTTCCAACATTTTCAAAAGTGTCTCATAAACCAAACAACCTTCATACTTCGATATGTTTTTCATCGAAATACGCAGCGTCTCAACGAAAATTGTTATTCAGAAATAATAATCGATTATTAATTCGATTAATCGAATCGATTAATTAATCGATTTAGTAATCGATTTTTTGTTTTGTATCTTTTAGATTTTGCGATCGTAACGCTATATACACCTACTGCGGGATCGTCCTCGTGGCCATCAATCCTTATTATGATCTTCCTATTTACGGTAAGTTGGGTTCGGAGGCTCCGAGACGGGCTGTGGTGAATTGGAAGCTGGTCTTCTTGAGAACCAGGGTCGGTACCACAGTGATGTCTTTTTATGTGTTTGGGTTCATGAAGAGCTATCGTTTGAAGCAGGAAAAAAAAATTATTATCTATAGTCATGTTAGCCTTCGATCAATAAAATATATCGAAACTATTACTGGTGGAAGGACCTCTTGTGAGTCCGCACGGGTAGGTACCACCACCCCGCCTATTTCTGCCGTGAAGCAGTAATGCGTTTCGGTTTGAAGGGCGGGGCAGCCGTTGTAACTATACTGAGACCTTAGACCTTATATCTCAAGGTGGGTGGCGCATTTGCGTTGTAGATGGCTATGGGCTCCAGTAACCACTTAACACTAGGTGGACTGTGAGCTGTGAGCACCCATCTAAGCAATAAAAAAAATCAATTTAAAACCGAATTAAACACAAAATGACTACATTTATCCTAAGTTGATAGAATGATTTATTTTTCGATGATAATCATGATTAGTAGGACAAATCAACATCGATATCAATCAATAACAAAATTGTTTTTAAAGTATACTTAACGCCACGTCAAATATAGTCCGTCCGATCACAACCCGTCAGGAGCATCTTCATTTAGCGGCCGGACTATAGTCACCGCTACTAAGAAGTTTAGTCGTGTATTTTGAAGTACGTACTTAAACATTTTTCTCATCGAAGGCGATGAAACCATCATGGCTTATCGGGGCCAATCGATGGGCGATCTGGACCCTCACATATTCGCCGTCTCCGAAGAGGCCTACACCAAACTGGAGCGAGAACGGAGTGATCAGAGTATCATAGGTAAGGATTTGCAGAATTAAAACAATTTAGACCATTGTTATGGGCATATCAAGATAAATAATTTTTATTACTCTACAATTGCTTATTTATCATCATTCTCTCCTGCCTAGTCACCTGGGGTCGGCGTAAGCACATATATTTAAATATTAAACACTGCTAATTTTAATATTAATATTATATTCTATAATTGTTTATTATACAGTTCTATATTGAATTTTCAATCTTATGCCATATCCTAAAATTGATAATTCATTTAGTGCTTAGGGCATTTCTTAGAAAACTGTGTATAATTAAATGAATTTGGCGGGCTGTCAACAAATCCCATCCTTCCTGGCTGAGCCCGTGCTCGCTCACCAGTCCTGGTAATCCTTCCTTCATAAAATACGCGAAGTTCAAAATAAATGATCCTAATTACCATTTGGTCATATTTGGTAAGACAATATACCGCCTCTACCTTTCGCTATCATCTCTGAACTGGTCTCCGGTTGTTCGCCTTCAGTCAGCGGCGAGTCCGGTGCCGGGAAGACGGTGTCGGCAAAGTATGCCATGCGATACTTCGCAGCTGTCGGCGGCAACGTTAGCGAAACCCAGATCGAGAGGAAAGTGCTGGCTTCAAGTCCCATCATGGAGGTGAGTGGTACCAACAGCTGTAACGGCACGTGGCATGAGGCTCGCCCAAATACCACGCGTTTCAAGAAGGACGTTTACTGGTGGCAGGACCTCTTGTGAGTCCGCACGGGTAGGTACCACCAACCTGCCTATTTCTGCTGTGAAGCAATAATGCGTTTCGGTTTGAAGGGCGGGGCAGCCGTTGTAACTATACTGAGACCTTAGAACTTATATCTGAAGGTGTGTGGCACATTTACGTCGTAGATGTCTATGGGCTCCAGTAAATAATTAACACCAGGCGGACTGTGAGCTAGTCCACCCATCTAAGCAGTAAAAAAAAATGACTCGAGGAAACACTGAGGAGGGTAGTAGGTGTTGGAGTTTTCCCCTAGTCACGTAGTCGGGACGGATCTTGGTTCGGTGCCGGGTGGTCCATTTGAGGTTCGGCGTATTGTCAGTCCTCTAGGCGATGATCTCATTTATTACACAATACAATTGACACCAAGTTAAACAAATCTATCTATATATATGTAAGCTTTGTGTTGACGTTGACGTTGACAGAACCATTAATATTTGGGTATGTAGGTAGGTATCAGAAAAACATTCAACCATTTTTAATAAAACTCCTTGTGAATTAGCTTAATTATAAAAGTAAAAAGGACGATTCAAATTTGAATATAAGAACAGTAAAGCATGAACATTTAATTGTCGATTCTCTGTTTTAGGTTAGNTATAACGTTGACTTAAATCTATATCTACTACGATATTATATCAGCGTATCGTTTCAAATCTCAAATATCATGAATCGAGAAAATCTACTAGCATCCATCAATATATAGATTCAGAAAATATATAGATTCAATATCCGATATTGATCCTCGATATATAGATACGATTCGATACGCGGCAAAACCGATATTACCCACTCCTATTCAGAAATAATAATCGATTATTAATTCGATTAATCGAATCGATTAATTAATCGATTTAGTAATCGATTTTTTGTTTTGTATCTTTTAGATTCTGCGATCGTAACGCTATATACACTTACTGCGGGATCGTCCTCGTGGCCATCAATCCATATTATGATCTTCCGATTTACGGTGAGTTGGGTTCGGGGGCTCCGAGACGGGCTGTGGTGAATTGGAAGCTGGTCTTCTTGAGAACCAGAGTCGGTACCACAGTGGTGTCTTTTTATGTGTTTGCGTACGTGAAGAGCTGTCTTTTGAAGCAGGAAAAAAAAATTTAATCGTCATGACTTTTGCAGTAATTCGGAATGCCGTTTGACTACTGAAAAGAATCTGCAAAAAATTCAAGGCTTGCTCTTCTTCAAGTCTCTTATGAGCATATCCTTCTCCAAACGAGGCTTGTGGAGAGTACTTAGCGGTAGGCAGCGGCTCGGCTCTGCTCCTGGCACTGCTGATGTCCAGAAGCGGCGATAATTACTCACCATCAAGTGGGCTGTATGCTCTCCTACCTACAACGGCAGTAAAAAATACATCATACAGAAAATTTACAAAATATTACCAAATCAATAGGATAGTAGAATATTTATAACATAGAAAACAACTACGACTTTTCATTGTACTTTCTGTCGTAAAAATGTAATCAATATAATACTGAATTGAACACAAAATTACAACATTTATCCTAAGTTGATAGAATGATTTATTTTTCGGCGATAATCAGTACTTAGTAGGAAAAATCAATAACAAAATTGTTTTTAAAGTAAACTCAACGCCACGTCAAAGCTATATAGTCCGTCCGATCACAACCCGTCAGGAGCATCTTCTTTTAACGGCCGGACTATAGTCTCTGCTACTAAGAAGTTAAGTATTTTGAAGTACGTACTTAAATATTTTTCTCATCGAAGGCGATGAAACCATCATGGCGTATCGGGGCCAATCGATGGGCGATCTGGACCCTCACATATTCGCCGTCTCCGAGGAGGCCTACACCAAATTGGAGCGAGAACGGAGTGATCAGAGTATCATAGGTAAGGATTTGCAGAATTGAGACAATTTAGACCATTGTTATGGGCATGTAGAGCATGCATGAGCATTGGCATATCAAGATAAATAATTTTTATTACTCTATAATTGTTTATTCATAATCATTCTCTCCTGCCTAGTTATCTGGGGTCGGCGCAACAACATTTTTAATATTAAACACATTTAATATAAATATTATATTCTATTATTGTTTATTATACAGTTCTATATTGAATTTTCAATCTTATGCCAGATCATAAGATTGAAAATTCAGTTAGTGCTTAGGGCACTTCTTAGACAACTGTGTATGTAAATGAATTTGGCGGGCTGTCAACAAATCCCATCCTTCCTGGCTGAGCCCGTGCTCGCTCACCTGTCCTGGTAATACTTCCTTCATAAAAAAATACGCGATGTTCAAAATAAATGGTCCTAATTGCCATTTGGTCATATTTGTTAAGACAATATACCGCCTCTCCCTCTCGTTATCATCTCTGAACTGGTCTCCGATTGTTCGCCTTCAGTCAGCGGCGAGTCCGGTGCCGGAAAGACGGTGTCGGCAAAGTACGCCATGCGATACTTCGCAGCTGTCGGCGGTAACGTCAGCGAGACCCAGATCGAGAGGAAAGTGCTGGCTTCAAGTCCCATCATGGAGGTGAGTGGTACCAACAGCTGTAACGGCACGTGGCATGAGGCTCGCCCAAATACCACGCGTTTCAAGAAGGACATTTACTGGTGGCAGGACCTCTTGTGAGTCCGCAAGGGTAGGTACCACCAACCTGCCTATTTCTGCTGTGAAGCAATAATGCGTTTCGATTTGAAGGGTGTTGCTGCCGTTGTAACTATACTGAGACCTTAGAACTTATCTCAAGGTGTGGGGCGCATTTACGTCGTAGATGTCTATGGGCTCCAGTAACCACTTAACAGCAGGCGGACTGTGAGCTAGTCCACCCATCTAAGCAATATAAAAAACATGACTCGAGGTAACATCGTGGAGGGTAGTTGGGTAATTGTGCTGGAGTTTTCCCCTAGTCATGTAGTCGGGACGGACCTTGGTTCGGTGCCGGGTCCATTTGAGGTTCGGCTTATTGTTAGACCTCTAGCAGATGAATCGTCCTCATCTATTACATAAGTTATGGTCTGCTATGGAATGCGCAACCTCTCGAGATCAGGACTATTACTAACCGCTGCGCGTTGAAATTAAGGGTTCGGCGAATGCTGTTGGAAAAATCGTCATGAACTTATTGAGATGAAGTTGTTTGTTAAGGTTATTAATATGCTTCTTTTAATACTGTACAAACTATTATATGTATGTATGTATATGTGATTGTGTATATATACTTTTTTTGTGTATGTATTTGTAACTTAATATAAATTTCATTGCACCTACCACTATTTATTCTGCCATACCTTTGGTTGACTGCTAGAGAATGCCTTAGGCATTGAGTCCGCCAATGTAAATTTTACATGAAGTGTAATAAATAAATAAATAAAGTTAAAAAACTTTACAATAAATGTAATGAAACATTGGGTATTCTCCAACAGGCGATAGGCAATGCGAAGACAACCCGTAACGACAACTCATCGCGCTTCGGCAAGTTCATAGAGATACACTTCGACAGCCAGTACCGGATATCCGGGGCCAGCATGCGCACGTACCTGCTCGAGAAGTCGAGGGTGGTGTACCAGAGTCCCGGCGAGAGGAACTACCACATATTCTATCAGCTGTGTGCCGCTTCTGCTTTGATGCCTCATCTGAAGTTGGGTAAGTGTTGTAGTTTAGGAGCTGAGTGCTACGAAGTTTACTGAACGGGTCATAGCGAGGGATGAAGGGTGGTTTAAGCGATACGTATGACCTTAATATGTGTAGGAACGGAATTTATGGATTAATGGCAGATATGGAGCACGACTGAGTGAGAGAGATAGATTTCGTGTTAGGAGGTAAGAGAGACGGCGAATGAATGTTGAACGCATAGTTTTATTTTATATCAGCGTCGGTAACGCTATTTTCATCATTATCATTGCCTTCCATAGTGACGGTAATTAAAATCATGTTACCAGTAAATTCCATTTATTGCATTTCAAGTGTACAGCGATAACAATACAGAGCTCCGCCTCGGTCGGCTGCTCCAGTCGAAATGTCTTGACGTTTTTTTTTTGTTTTCGTATTTTTTTTTCTATCTAAACTGATAGCCTTGGGAGGCTATGTCAGCGTAACCCCAACGTGTAGGTGAGCTTATGGGGCTCTAGTCTGGTGACGTTGCTAACACTAACCCTAGCGAGAGCAGTGCTTCGCAGAATCTACCACCGGATCGGAAACGCGACCCACTGAGAAGATCCGCCGAGAAACTCAGTGGGCTGTGTCTGTGGGTTAATTTACTCGCCGAGCCCATCGTCGCAAGCGACGGGTTTTGACAAGAACGATGACCGGTGCTTGTGGTACATAAAAGCACCGTTAGTGGATCAGGAGGATACGAAATGACGTGTTTAGGGCGACGTCGATTGCTTACCCTTCACTCTGCAGGATCGTGAAATCATATCCGACAATAGTCACTCGTATATAGTGGGGGTAGCTTAGTCATGAATTCTCTTGAATACTGTCTTAAAGAGTTGTTAACGTTAAGGAAATAGTTAACTTTAACTAATCTTATTTAACCAAATAGTGACGCTGTGCCGACATGTATATATGACATATGAGGCTAGAAAAAAATTTGTTTGTTACAGAACATCAAGACACATTACACTATTTGAATCAAGGCGGCAGTCCGAATATCGACGGAGTGGATGATCTAAAAGCTTTCAACGAAACTAGAAGCGCTTTGACTACTTTAGGTGAGCGGACTTAAAGTCTCAGGGTCAAAGCTTTAAGTGGACTCATGTTGAAGTCGCGGTCTTCAATAAAACCCGAAAAATTAAAATAATTTAAAACTGATATAAGTTCCGCATAGTTCAAGGATATTATATTAGTAAGGCAGCTGTTCTTAAAGTTGTGATCCCATAGGCCTAACGCATAGTCCTTTTTTATATTGCTTAGTTGAGTGGACGAGGTCACAGCCCATCAGATGTTAACTAGTTACCGGAGCCCATAGACAACTACAACGTAAATGCTGCCACTCACCTTGAGATATGAGGTCTCAGTATAGTTACAACGGCTGCTCCACCCTTCAAACCGAAACGCATTACTGCTTCACGGCAAAAATAGGCAGGGCAGTGGTGGTACCTACCCGCACGGACTCACACGACGTCCTACCACCAGTAATTACGCAAATTATAAGGCTAGGCTAGTTATGTCCACTCGTACTGATAACACAACGTGATGTAGTCCCCTACCAGTTAAATATGGAGGGGCGAGCAGAATTTGAGAAGCGCTGGCTTGCGGGTATCGCCCGATGGTTATATATTAGTGTAGATTGTGGATCTCTGCTGATTGTGCTACAGGTGTTACGGATTCGGAGCAGAGGGACATGTTCACGATCCTGGCCGCGATACTGCATCTCGGCAACGTGGCGCTGCTGTCCGAGGACCCCGACGCGGCGCCCGGAGCAGACTGCGAAGACGGAGCCTACATCAGCGTTAGTATTTTTTTTATAGCTTATATGGGTGGACGAGCCTAGTGTTAAGTGGTTACTGGAGCCCATAGACATCTACAACGTAAATGCGCCACCCACCTCGAGATATAAGTTCTAAGATCTCAGTATAGTTACAACGGCTGTCTCGCCCTTCAAACCGAAACGCATTACTGCTTCACGGCAGAAATATGCGGAGTGGTGGTACTTGCCCGTGCGGACTCACAAGAGGTCCTACCACCAGTAAATGGGCACCGATTTATTTTACCTGCCTATGCTGATAGCCTATGAAGGCTTCATTTTACTTTCACTTCATTTATACACGCGCACTATTTTCCACTGAGAAGTTCTTTTGAATTTAGCCGACAGACGAGCACCTGACGCACGCGTGTTCGCTGCTGGGAGTGTCGCGTTTGGAGCTGTCGCGGTGGCTGAGCCATCGCCGCATTGCCTCCGCCCACGAAGTCATCGTCGCCAGGTACTGTGACGTTCCCTTCAACGTAAAAGCGGCCGTCGAGGTTTAGACAAGGTCAAAAATGCTTTGAGAAACCGGCCATATACCACAAGCGATGCAGTTGTGACGTCTGGCGGACGCATCGTCTCCAGGTACTGTCATGTTCCGTTCAAGATAAAAGTCGCCGTCGCTGTTTAGACATAAGGTCGAAAATGCTTTGAGAAACCGGCCATATGCCACAAGTGACGTAGCTTTGACGTCTGGCGGAGGTATCGTCTCCAGGTACTATGGCGTTCCCTTCAACGTATAATTCGCCGTCTGCGCAGTAAGTAGTGAGTAATGAGTTTCTTAACGCATTACTGCTTCAGAGCCCATAGACATCTACAACTTAAATGCGTCACTCACTTTGAGATATAAGTTCTAAGGTCTCAAGTATAGTTACAACGGCTGCCCCACCCTTCAAACCGAAACGCATCACTGCTTCACTACAAAAATAGGCAGGGTGGTGGTGCCTACCCGCGCGGACCTACCACCAGTAATTACGCAAATTATAATTTTGCGGGTTCAATCAAATTCATAAAAATTCGAGAATAAAAACTTTGTACATAACAATAATAATAATGAAACAAATAATTGAACAAAGCACACGATGTTTAAATGAATGTCTCGTGGTATGTATCGGCAGGCTGGACGTGCAGCGCGCGGCGTGCGCCCGGGACGCGCTCGCCAAGAAGCTGTACGGGGAGCTGTTCGCGTGGCTCGTCACCGCAGTCAACCGCGCGCTCGACACCGGACACGCCAAGAAACACTTCATCGGTGAGGCCAATCACCACTAGTCCACCCACCACTAGTCCACCCACCAGTAGTCCACCCACCACTAGTCCACTCACCACTAGTCCACCCACCACTAGTCCACCCACCAGTAGTCCACCCACCACTAGTCCACTCACCACTAGTCCACCCACCACTAGTCCACCCACCAGTAGTCCACCCACCACTAGTCCACTCACCACTAATCCAGACACCAATAGTATAGGTACCACTAGTCTAGCCATCCCTAGCTTAGAGAGCGATCGCAATCGTGACCAACTGAGAAGATCCGGTAGTAGATTCAGCGAAGCACCGCTCTTGCTAGGGTTGGCCCACTGAGTTTCTCGCCGGATCTTCTCAGTGGGTCGCGTTTCCGATCCGGTGGTAGGTTCTGCGAAGCACGACTCTTGCTAGGGTTCGTGTTAGCAACATCGTCAGGTTTGAGCCCCGTGAGCTCACCTACTAAAGTTAGGGTTACGCTGACATAGCCTCTCAAGGCTCTCAGCTTAGGTAGGAAAAAAAAAAAAAAAAAGCTAGGGTTGGTACTAGCAAATTCTCTCAGGTTGATCCAGTTGAGATCGTCTACCAGCCAGAGCGTAGCTGGAATGTCCGCTTAGGCTACCAGCGAATAGATAGGGAAAAAACGCAGGATCTGACAACAGTTCAGTCTTTTTTTATTTTATTTTTATTGCTTAGATGTGTGGACGAGTTCAAAGTGTCGAGTCAAGTCTGCACGTGGCACCTATTCTGATACTCTTCCGCTCCGTTTATGTTGGTTTGATCACTCGCTCTCTAAGCTAGAATTCGCTGAATCTACCACCGGATCGCAATCGTGACCAACTGAGAAGATCCAGCGAGAAACTCAGTGGGCTGTGTCCAAGGGAATCCCACATCACGTCAGTCCCGTGCTCTGAACCGTATTCGGTATTTTTTTTCTCCGTCTCCAGGCGTCCTCGACATCTACGGCTTCGAGACCTTCGAAATCAATTCGTTCGAACAGTTCTGCATCAACTACGCGAACGAGAAGCTCCAGCAGCAATTCAACTCGCACGTGTTCAAACTGGAACAGGACGAATATATAAAGGTAAGTTGTCGTGGATCCAAGTTGTACAGGACTAGGTCGGGTCGGTGCTGGTCGCAGCGCGTGTCTGCCCATCTAAAGAAGTTAAAAGTCTCGAATCTTGTAGGAAGAGATCTCGTGGGAGATGATAGACTTCTACGACAACCAGCCGTGTATAGACCTGATCGAGGACCGTCTGGGAGTCCTGGCGCTGCTCGACGAGGAGTGCCGCGTGCCGCAGGGCTCCGACACCGGCTTCGTGGCCAAGCTGCACCAGAAGTGCGCCGCCTACCCGCACTTCATGAAGCCGAGGTTCGGGAACCAGGGTGGGTCCGAGTTTGTAGCTGACATGTTCATTGTCAACTGTCAATAGTGTCGATGCTTTGTATTGTAATTATTATTATTTTGATTACTTATATGGGTGGACGAGCTCACAGCCCACCTGGTATTAAGTGGTTACTGGAGCCCATAGACATCTACAACGTAAATACGCCACCCACCTCGAGATATGTTCTAAGGTCTCACTATAGGTTACAACGGCTACCCCACCCTTCGAACCGAAACGCATTACTGCTTCACGGCAGAAATAAGCAGGGCGGTGGTACCTACCCGCGCCGACTCCCAAGAGGTCCTACCACTAGTCATTGTCAATTGTCAACGGTGTTGATTGCTTTGTGTTGTTATAAATTAATCATTTTAGTATACAATCCGTTCCAGAAGTCAAACATGTAAAATGCGTACTGCAACGTAAACACGCAATGTAAGGCGTACAAATAATTAACGATGCTCAAAGTCTAAGAGCGATGCGATTGCTCTTTCTAAGCTGTGGACTTGTATTGATTGGATCCACGATTCGTAGTGTCAAGTGTATAGCGGAGTCCATGGACATCATGATATTAGGGCATTCCCTTTTAGGTAGACAACCTAATTTATTTTGAACTAGCGACCTGCCCTCGCTTCGCTTTGGAAACATTAAATTTTATTATTAATAGCTAAGTCTCGCGATGTTACCCGCGGTTATTGTCGTACCGCGAATGACGCCTCGGGGCGAAGCTAGTCTAAAAAAAAGTAAAGCCTAAGTTACTCCTTATATCATCGGCTACCTGTCAGTGAAAGTCCCATCAAAATCGGTCCAGCCGTTCCAGAGATTAGCTGATTAAAAATTGTAAAAAATGCTTTTTTGGTGTATGTACCGTATATTCATATCAATATCAATATTACTAACAGACAATCCAATTTTATTTATATGTATTAGTCAGTAGGTGCTCCTATAGACTAAAAACCCTCAATCATGAGAAATGAACAGGATTCTTCCGACAGCCTTCATAATAAAGCATTTCGCTGACAACGTGGAGTACCAGTCCGGCGGTTTCCTTGAGAAGAATCGTGACACAGTGTCGGAGGAACAGCTGGAGTGTATCAGGACGGCCACCAGCTGCCGCCTCATACACGTCATGCTGGAGTCGGAGCGCGCGGTAGACCGTCAGACCGCGACCCTGCCGCCGCCCTCCCGGAGGAGGACCACGCCCTCCGTGCCGATAACGAGTCTAACTGTACGTGCCCTTTTATTGATACGCTTTTATTAGCTTCAGACGTATGTATGTATGAATCTTTGAACATGATTTTGAGACCCTTCAAAACATCGGATTAACTCGAAAATCCAACTAAAAAATAGAAAATAAACTTGAATTAAAAATAGTGTAAGAAAAAATAATTTTATTGTAAAAAAAGCGTGGGGTTCATCAGTAGTTATAAATATTTTATGAACAAATATGAGGGTTATTTTGATAATATCCTGAAAAGCACCCAGTTTTTTTAAACTTTTTGTCATTTTTATTGCTTAAATAGGTACACGGGCTCATGGTCCCCCCGTGGCTAAATGGTTACTGGAGTCCATGGACATCAACAATACAATGTCCATGGACATCACCTTGAGAAATAAGTCCAAGTTTGATAGTACATAGATGCCCCACCCCTGTAATCGGATTACATGACCTCGGGCCAGTTTTTTTTTATTCGTTAAAAAAAAGCGTGGTGGTACCTAACCTGGTGGTTTGTGGATTTTTGTAATGTAATAGAGTTTTTTACACAGATTTTTTGCATTAGACCCCTTCAGCTCTAACACTAGGAGCAGGCTTAGGGACCCCAGTAACCGTACTTGTCGAACTCTACAAAGAGTTCGATGTGCAACTTAACCCATGCATTAGTCCGCTGAGTTTCTCGCCGGATCTTCTCAGAGGGTCGTGATTCCGATCCGGTAGTAGATCCATTCGCGAAGCAGCTGCTCTTGAGTTGTTAGGTCTCCTATGGAGGCGCTCGGGCAGTTGTTATCAAATCCCACCCCTTCTGGCTGAGTCCTTGCTCGCCCACCTGTCCTGGTGAAACTGGAAAGGCCGCCGGGCCAGGGGCCTTAATTAGTGGCTTCTGAAAATTTACAAAATCCTTCATTAAAAATAAAACATTGGATAGGTAATATGTTATTGCCGTCTACAGGAGCAATGAGAAACTAATCGAAGCGAAGCCATGTAGTGGCCGACGCCCGTAAACATTTTTCTTGAGTGCTTGAGTTGCTTATCTATAACTAATTTATGTGTATTGTCTATGCTCCGGGCCACTAGTAATCCTTCAGGACTTTTTGGCGGGAACGCGAGGAGTGAAGTTGTGTGATTTGGTTTAATTTGTCTATTTAGTGATTCTTCAGGTTTATTAACTGTTTAGTATCTGTGAAAGTGCACGAATGTGGGAAAATGAAACAAAGCCGCTTGGACGTAACTTCTCGGGATCCTCCAAAAAGTCCACTGAAAAAATCTCAGTAAATGACCACCATTTTACTGAGATTATATTTCATCCAATATCATCTTATCTCATTTCATTCAATTTTGTTTTCTTTTCATTTCATGTCATGTTTCATATTAATCAACTTCATTTCATTTCATAATATTATTTTTCATATAAAAAAAAATTCATTAAAATTAAAGACTTGACTTAAAGGTCTTAGTTACCAGGTCATAAGATCCCTTAAAAAAACAATAATCCAACAATAATTTAAAAAAAAAATGTCGGTCCAGCAACCAGGGCGGCGCGCGTCCGGCGCGCGGCAGACGGTGGGCGGGCAGTTCCGCGCGTCGCTGTCCGCGCTGATGCTGACGCTGTCCCGCACCACGCCCCACTACGTGCGCTGCATCAAGCCCAACGACTCCAAGACGCCCTTCCTGTTCGACTCCGCGCGGGCCGTCAACCAGCTCAGGTCAGTGAGGCGGCTCACAAGCCGGTGGTAGGACCTCTAGTGAGTCCGCGGGGGTGGTACCACCGCCCTGCCTGTTTCTGCCGTGAAGCAGTAATGCGTTTCGGTTTGAAAGGTAGGGCAGCCGTTTCTACTATACTGAGATCTTAGAACTTATATCTGAAGGTAGGTGGCGCATTTACGTTTTAGATGTCTAAAAAAAACACACAGTACAAAGAACATGAAATTGTTTATATACTTTTACGTCGGTAAGAGTAACGCCATCTATCGCCGAATAGTCGAACGAATATCGAAGGACCTAATAGCATCTAGAACGCTCGAGAAGTACAACGCCATCTGTTGTCACATGACGGAAACAATACTAGAGATGTGTGGAATATTCTCGATAATTCTAGGGATGAGGTATCGACTATAAAAGCGTTGTAGGTAGTCAGTAATCGGATCTACTCGAAGCGAAACAGCGAACGGATCACCTGAAGCGAAGCGGAAGAAGCGAATTGAGAATTTTAAAATATTTGTGAAGTGTTCTAGGTGATGAATACAGTGTTAACTTGTAATTCGTTAGAATTTTATTTATCACGAACCCCAGCGCGTAACAATATCTGTAGATGACATATATGTAAAAGTAATTACAGCATCACGACGTATAAGTGGTCTGTGTCCCACACCGCAGGGCTTGCGGCGTGCTGGAGACGATACGGATATCTGCAGCCGGCTTCCCCTCCAGGTGGCTGTACCAGGACTTCTTCCATCGGTGAGCTGGTTCGATTCTTATGATGGTTAATTAGGAAAGTATTTGCGAGCTCATATCGCAACACCCTGTATAATGGCGACTTGAGATGATTAATAACTAGGCTGGTGGTAAGAAGTTTATACTGATGTTAGGACGTCGTAACGTCGTCGTCGTGGCCGTTGTAACTATACTGAGATCTTAGAACTTATATCTCGAGGTGAGTGGTGCATTTACGTTGTAGATGTCTATGGGCTCCAGTAACCACTTAACACCAGGTGGGCTATGAGCTCGTCCATCCACCTAAGCAATAAAAAAAAAAAAAATTGAAGTTCCATTAAAAACATCGAACTGTTGATGCTGATACCAAATAAAACGCATCTTTAATTACAAATCCTATTAAGCAATATGTTGCTTAATCCCAATAGCCTTTCACCCCTCGATAATAGTCTACAATCGATCGAATTATAATTACAGTTTGAATAATCAGCCTCGTTAATATCCGACCTTATTCCCCTGTCGCGATTAACAGATACCGCCTCCTCTGTCGGCACAAGGACATCGACCGCGCCAACATCAAAGGGACGTGCTCTATAATCCTTTCCAAGCACCTCAAGGATCCGGACAAATACCAGTTCGGCGCCACGAAGATATTCTTCCGGGCGGGACAGGTCGGTGTCAGGGTTTTTATTCAGCATTATACAATAGAAAAAAACTCGCTCAATTAAGTTGTTTTTTTAAAGGAATTTTATGACTTGGTAACTAAGACCTTTAAGTCATGCCTTATTTTAATTTATATTCTTATTTTTATGAAAAATGTTGAAATGAAATGAAATGAAGATAATTAATTTGAGACATTAATCAACTGGGATGAAATCAAATGAAATGAGATGAGATTAAATGGGATGAAATATAATCTCAGTAAAATGGTGGTCATTTACTGAGATTTTTTCAGTGGATCCCGAGAAGTTACGTCCAGCGGCTTTGTTTCATTTTCCCACATTTGTGCACTTTCACAGATATTAAACAGTTAATAAACCACCGTTATTACACATTTAAACCTGAAGAAACACTAAATAGACAAAATAAAACAAATCACACAACTTCGCTCCTCGCGTTCCCGCCAAAAAGTCACAATTAAGTTATGTCTTCAGCAGTGTTTCCACTTTAATTATTTCCTTTCCCCACGCCTCAATTCAAAATTCCCCATCTTAGGGCTTTTACCCCTCAAAAATTTTTCTGCTGTAGTTTTTACTTTTGGCCCTAGTGTAGTAACTAAAAAAAAGGTCTATATCGATTTTCTTGTATAGCCTATCCACGCCTCTGGTGATACTATAATTATGATAATATTATTTACACAAAATGCCATTTACCCATGATTTCCCCTTTTAATGTCTTCCCCTTTTTCTCCCCCTACGGATCCTAATTTCCCCACAAATTGGGATTTTCCCCCTCACTGTGGCAACACTGGTCTTCAGGTGACCGTAGCGATATGACAATCTCTTAAACACGATAAAAGTTTTATTATAGCCGATCCAGCGTTAGCGTGTGATGCTGGAACTAACGTGGGCTTGGAGTGAATGTAATTTGCGTCAATCAACAAGGGCGCCGCTGTCTATAAAAAAAAGACCTCTGCCTATTTGATGTCGGCTTGTATAAGAGACTACGTTCGACTCGTGGATATGCTCAACAATGTTTTTTTCAGTTCCCTAACAATATAGACATAATAATTACAAATCGACGCTTGAAAGGCAAACGTGACTAACGACAATAACTGCTTTGTACATAAATGATAGGCAATAACAATATTCGATGCGCAAAAAATATATATTTATATATTATATAATAGACCTAGCTATTAAAACCACCAGGATTGATCCTACAGCTAGATTCGCTAAAATAAGTTTTTTCATGTATTTCAACTTTAAATTAGTCTACTGTAAAGTTCACGCATTGTCGCTTAGTCACGTTTGCCTTTCAAGCGTCGAAATCTATCCGCAAACAAAATTTGATTTTTCTTTGTTGTGTACTATGACGTCATTGTACAACACTGCTTACGGTTTCTATACTATCCATACAGCTATTACAATGAGTTTACGAGTTGATGTTTTGATCTGTTTGACACGAGCAGGTCGCATACTTGGAGAAGGTCCGCGCGGACATACAGCGCGAGTACTGCGTGCGCGTGCAGAGCTGCGTGCGGACGTTCGTGGCCCGCCGGAAGTACCTCCGGGTCATGAGGACCGTGGTCGGCATCCAGGCCCGCTCCCGGGGCTACCTGGCCAGGCGGTGAGTGTCCCGTCCCTCGCGTAGAAGTATATGTAAAATTTTGTCATCAGTAAATAATTGTAAATCATCTTTTATAGTATAAGGTAGCGCCCTCTGTGAATTGATATTTTAACTTCACGTATAATTCTAAATTAAAATTCAGAGGTTTCATACACACGTTAGTATTCAAAAATCTCATAGATGGCGCTGTATTAAAAAGGAACACTGCACCGAGAACGTCTAATGTGTTCTATCTCATTCTCTCGCCGGCTGAATTCTATCTACATTTATGTGTTTGTGTTTCTATGGACTTATTTTTTCGTTTCATCGACTTTGAAATCACAACGATTCTAAAGAAGTTTCACTTCAAGAAGCTATTTTATTTATTTATTTACTAGCTGACCCGGCAGACTTCGTAGTTCCTCAATTGATAAATAAAAGACCTAAAATTTTGTATAAAATAAACTTAAAACAAACAAAAGGAATATGTCCGACGGGGGACACATCAAAAGACAAATAAATTGTTATTTTTATTTAATTCTGAGCATTTTCATGTTTATCTACCTTTGAGACCTTCTCTGGACTTCCACAAATAATTCAATATAAAGATTTATTTATCGTGTGACAGCAAAGCGCAGGAGTTGCGCCGCGCCCGCGCCGCCGTGACCCTCCAGCGGCACGTGCGCGGCTGGCTGGCGCGGCGCAACTACCGCCGGCTGCGGGGCCTGGCGCTGGCGCTGCAGGCGCGCGCCCGCGGGTACCTCGCCAGGAGACTGTACCGGGACCGCAGGAAACTAAGAGCCGTGAGTCATCCGACAATCTTATCCGACTTTAACTAATGAGCAACGAACCTTCAAACACAGCTAGTAGATTCATTCGCGAAGCAACTTTTCTTTAGTTGGTCTAGGCGGCGCTCGGGCAGCTATTAGCAAATCCCACCCCTCCTGGCTGAGCCTTTGCTCGCCCACCTGTCCTGGTGAAAATGGAAAGGTCTCCGGGCCAGGACCCTGAAACTGCGATACTTTAAGACTTAATTAATAATTTTTTTGTATGGAAACTAGCGACATCTTGTAGCGAATGCCCATAAACTTATATGTTGTGGTAGACTCTGTGAAGCACTGCTCTTGCTAGGGTTCGTGTTAGCAACGTCGTCGGGTTTGAGTCCCGTGAGCTCACCTACTAGCTAAAGTTATGCTGAAATAGCCTAAGCTCTCAGCTTAGGTAGGAAAAAATAAAAAAGTTAAGCAGCGACTTGGCTCTGCCCCTGATATAACTGACGACCATGGGCGACGGTAACCACTCACCATATTATTTTTTTTGCCTTTTTAGGCAGATGAGCGTACGGTCCCCCTGATGATAAACGGTCACCGTCGCTCATGGACGTCAGCAATGCTAGCCGCCGCCACGTCCGAAAATAAACTAACAATTTTAATTTTAACAATCAACCTTTATTATTTGCTTCGTTCAAATTTTTATAAAGGTTGCTACAAATAAAAATTACGTATTAAAAAAAACTATGCGTGTACTTATGTACGCACTATAGCGACTATAGCATTGTTCGATTCCAGGTCGTCACGATACAGAGATACGCCCGCGGCTTCTTGGCTAGACAGAGGGTGAAGAAGATGAAGAGACAGATCATAGTCGCGCAGGCAGCGGTGAGATCATTGTGCACAGTGACGTCACGACACGCGTGCTGTAGTGTCCAGTTGCACAGGACCCCTACAATGAACTCATAAAATGCTTTAAAAATAAATAAAAATGACCATAGAATATATTCGAATGTCCAAACACGTCATTACGGATCCTCCCGATCCAGTAACGGTGCTTTTAGGTACCACAAGCACCGGTCACCCTCCTCGCCGAACCCGTCGCTTGCGACGAAGGGCTCGGCGAGTAAACTAACCCACAGACACAGCCCACTGAGTTTCTCGCCGGATCTTCACAGTGGGTCATATTTCTGATCCGGTGGTAGATTCTGCGAAGCACGGCTCTTGCTAGGGCCAGTGTTAGCAACAAAGTTAGCAGAATGGGTAGGAGAAAAAAAATCTCGACCGTGAATGTTTACCGTATGGCTCCGGTCCCTGACATCCACGTTCTGGTCTCCAGACAAGTACATCTCGTTGAACGGTTCCAGATCCGTCGTTTCCTAGCGCGTCGCCAGTACAAGCGGCTCCGCATCGAGGCCCGCAGCCTCGACCACGTGAAGACCCTCAACAAGGGCCTGGAGAACAAGATCATCAGCCTGCAGCAGCGGCTCGGCGGCGCCATGGAGAAGAACAAGCTGATCGAGCCGCTCACCGCGCAGGTCGCGGACCTCAAGTTAGTGGCGGGGCGTGACGGGCGCGGGGGTCGCTCTGACCCTGGGGGTGACGTAGTACAGTAAAGGAGGTACTGGTGGTACCACGTTACTGGTGGTAGGACCTCTTATGAGTCCGCACGGGTAGATACCACCACCCCGCCTATTTCTGCCATGAAGCAGTAATGCGTTTCGGTTTGAAGGGTGGGGCAGCCGTTGTAACTATATGTGAGACCCTAGAACTTATATCTCAAGTTGGGTGGCGCATTTAAGTTGTGGATGTCTGTGGGCTCCAGTAACCATTTAACACCAGGTGGGCTGTGAGCTCGTCCACCCATCTAAGCAATTAAAAAAAAAAGGTACATCAACCTCATGTCTCAAAGTAAATTCCTTCATCGTGAAGTCGTTCATGAGCCTTTGTCGAGTACGTATGACACACGAGCACACCGGACGTCTTACTCAAAAGGCCATGGACGTATCCAGAATAACAAACCCGGTCTCTCACACAATATAAATAAATAATAAATATTTACTAACAATCACGCCACGTTAACTGGTCCCGTGATAAGTACGTAAAGAGCTTGTGTTACAGGTACCAGATAACGGAAATAAATGTAAGATTTTTATTATACACATACATATATTTAATATACATCCATAACCCGGGAAAATACATTTTATATTTATCATACAAATATCTTCCCTTGGCGGGACTCGAACCAGCGACACCCTTGTGTAGTGACCATGTCACTTACCACTACACCAGACGGCCGTTATATATATATTTATTATCAGGGCAAAACTGGAACTACTCAAACTTGTGGAGATCGAAGTGAAAACATTGAAAGTCGGCATTGACGACAAGGACAGCATTATAAACGCGCTGCGAGCGGAACTGCAGTCGGAAAGGGACGCCAATATGCGGCTCGCCGAAGCGAAGAAAGGGATAGAGGATCAATATAACAAGGATAGACTTACTTGGGAAGAAGAGAGCGAGAAATTGGCCAACGAACTAAAGAGCGTCAAAGAAAACTACACGTTAGCTATTGAAGGTAGGAACTGTTTTTTGGGGGAGGTGGGTAGTTTCGGCAAAGACTTAGTGAGACTTAGTAGACTTGTTTAGTGCGAGTTTTTTAACGTTCTCGATCGCGATAAAGTTAACTCGTATTTGTATGGAGTTGGAACAGCGCCCCTAGCGGCAAACGAAGGGAAGCTGTTACTAAACACACAGATATATAAAGCCTCTGTTACTGCCGCGAAGCCGTTACAATCCGGATTGTTGAAGGGTTTCTTATTAATAGGATACATCAAAGGATATAGAATATATTAATAGGATTCCCTCACATCCCTAGAACTATCGAGAATATTCCACACATCTCTAATATTGTGTTTCCGCTATCTGACAATAGATGGCGTTGTACGTCTCGAGCGTTCTCGGTGCTACTAGATCCTTCGATATTTTTTCGACTATTCGGCGATAGATGGCGTTACTTTTACCGGCGTAACATTATGTAGTCTTTACTGCAGGCTCGTACCGATAGGCGATGAGAAACACCAACAATTTCACTTATTTACGTATAAAATGCAACAGAGACGCGTTACGCGCGCGAGGTACTTCAGCCATTACATTTTCTTCTTTAGTCGATGTCGCCACGCGATCTCGCTCGCACGCGCCCGTAGGTAATGTGCGGGAGAGGGATGGGACAGGATTTGCAAAATCAAATTAAATGTTGCTATTTTCAGAAACAAAAACTAACAGTTCTAAACCAGCACAACCACTATGGCGATGGCCCTTTTGTTCTGGAAAAAAACTAAACCCTATTCAGATTTACTGGTGGTAGGACCTTTTGTGAGTCCGCGCGGGTAGGTACCACTACCCCGCCTATTTCTGCCGTGAAGCAGTAATACGTTTCGGTTTGAAAGATGGGGCAGCCGTTACAACCACGGAATAGATAAATAAGGTTGGAAAGGCCTTTGCTCTAATTTTGTATTAGAACCAGTGTCGCCGCTTCATCCCCACTATTTTAATTTCTACACATACACATACTGTGATTACAAGTATTTCGCACACAACAAAAACACCCACACATAAATCTCAGGACAGATATTCGTTCGCAAACTAGCACAAAACACCCGTAGGCANGGAAAGGCCTTTGCTCTAATTTTGTATTAGAACCAGTGTCGCCGCTTCATCCCCACTATTTTAATTTCTACACATACACATACTGTGATTACAAGTATTTCGCACACAACAAAAACACCCACACATAAATCTCAGGACAGATATTCGTTCGCAAACTAGCACAAAACACCCGTAGGCATACACACTCACACACGCAAAAGGCAATAAAAATATTCATACACGCTAGTGCTTGATAAAATCGATATTCTTTATCGATAAATTATCTGATGAATGAATGGAGAAAATGAAACATGAATATTGAAAAAAACCTATTTTACTTTTATTAATTACAAACAGTCACTGTCTCTGGAATAAAACGTATTTTTAATCAGTTGGCGCTTGCTATTAATTGCGAATGAATTTTTCAAAACTAGTGTATTCTGATTTTTTTTATGGTAAATCATTTTCAGTAAAATGCATAGAGCAAATAGTACTCGTCTTTGTCTCGAGTTTCCTCTACCTGTCACGTCAATCCATTGTTCCCTGGCGTTAGGTTCTTTAGGAAACCTAACATTTTTAATTTATTGTATAAGTCAAATAGCATTTTACTTAGATTTTAATAAATCTTAGACAATATAGTAAATACCCGTAAATGAGAGGTCTACATGTCCCTTTATATTATACCTTCACATTAATTCAATGATAATAATTCAATAATAATAATACATATTTATTTTACTCAAAATACGTCTCACTAAGAATATACTAGGTATCATTAATTAAATATAAAATAATACAAAAAATATCCATGTCAAATGTAAATATAGTCGAGAATTCTGTCGATGATTTTATTTCACCACATGATCACCTCACTATCGACAAACTAGCGCCGTCCAATCAGGGCAAAGGCCGAAATTTCAAAGATTGAAGTGTAGAGAACGCAATGCATGTAGTACATTGGAAGCGGACTTGGTCATTGCGTTCATTGGGCGAGTACACATCGCGCAATGTATGCTATTTATAACTTGTTACAATAATATTGTTAATGTTTGGAATTTCATAATGCTCAGTATATTTTTATGTTTTAGACAAATAATATTGTAATTAAATGGTAATTTCGACTTACCGATCGAAAGATATACCTCCTCGCTCTATACTTGAGGTCTGACTTTTTGTTTTACAAGTTATAATTGCACAACACGGCACTATAAAGCGGAGATCTGTTCGCCAAAGTAGTCCAAAGCGCACTAAACGCGGTGAATGAAAGAATCGGTCGAGTTATGTTTGTAGAATCATAACTGTGGCACGCTTGCCCCGCCTACATTACCATTCCAACCTTATTTATCTATTCCGTGGTTGTAACTATACTTGAGACCTTAGAACTTATATCTCAAAGTGAGTGGCGCATTTACGTCGTAGATGTCTATACATTGTCTCTATGGGTTCCAGTAACCACTTAACACCAGGTGGGCTGTGAGCTTGTTCAACCAATCTAAGCAATAAAAAAAAAGGATCCAACGTGTTGTTTACAATATCGACATTAAATAAATTGATTGTCATTGCGATAGTCGCGAGCGATAATGGTATAGCGATAATGAGGCAATTAATATAATTTCTATATCAGCAATGAACATCAGACCTGATAAGTTTGACGAATGAAACTCGTAAAAAAATATTATATGTTGTTCATTAAAATTGTTTTTAAGTGAAATTCGCTTTTAAAATCGGTTTTGTATTATAATATCGATATATTATAATGCTAGTTCTTACATGTGCAGTGAACAAAACAATAATTCAGTGTCTAAAAACTAGAGTTTAAAAGAGAATTAGATAAAAATACCAATAAAGAAATTCGTTTTGAAATTATTAAAATATATATCAACTGAATTCGCGAGTAACATAGATAAAATCGTTTTAGTTGTCAGCTGAGGAATGTAAAGTGATATATTCGGTGTCCGCGCCAGTCGAGAAAGTTCTATTAACGACTAGCTAGTACTAGAGGACGTACCCGTCCGCTTCGCTGGGCTTATTATTTCTCACCCCCACAAAGATTCTCATCATTAACGCCCCCGCAACTGGTGTAGGGAGTCCAACGCTCATATAAATATTAGCCTATCCATTAAGTACATGTATTTTCTAAATGGACACCAAGTTTCAAGTCAATCGGATGCACGGTTCAGTAGTTATAACGGAACATCCGTAAAAACCACTGTAGATTTATATATTAGTATAGATTTATGTTGGACAGGATTGTGTTCTGTGTTGTGTGTACTAGAATAACACACGGGAACCGCTGAGTTTCTCGCCGGATTTTCTCAGTGGGTCGCGATCCCGGTGGTAGATTCTGCGATAGAGAGCAGTGCCTCTTGCCAGGGCTATTTATTGTAAGCAAATTCCCTCAGGTTGTGCCCGTGTTGATGCTGATCACTACATAGTTTTTTATTGCTTAGATGGATGGACGAGCTCACAGCCTACCTGGTGTTAAGTGGTTACTGGAGCCCATAGACATCTACGACGTAAATGCGCCACCCACCTCGAGACATAAGTTCTAAGGTCTCAGGTACAGTCACAACGGCTGCCCCACCCTTCAAACCGATACGCATTACTGCTTCACGGCAGAAATAAGCAGGGTGGTGGTACCTACCCGCGCGGACTCTCAAGAGGTCCTACCACCAGTAATTGCGTAATTATAATTTTGCGGGTTTGATTTTTATTACATGATGTTATTCCTTCACCGTGGAAGTCAATCGTGAATATTTGTTAAGTACGTATTTCATTAGAAAAATTGGTACCCGCCTGCGGGATTCGAACACCGGTGCATCGCTACATACGAATGCATTGGACGTCTTATCCTTTAGGCCACGACGACTATATCCCTATGTATGCTTAAATCTTTAAAACTACGCAACGGATTTTGATGCGGTTTTTTTTAATAGATAGAGTGATTGAAGAGGAAGGTTTATATGTATAATAAAATCCATTAAATAGTGGAGAAAACAATAATAAATTACAGTTTCCGAAGCGAAGCGAGTGCGGGTCGCTAGTATCAAATAAAACGGACCTTTAATTACAAAATTAGATGTCGCGACATGTCGTTTAAACCGATATAGATAAAAGTGAACGGGTAGTTGTGCGTTGTATATAAATGCTCAAAGCGATGGTGACGTCAGAGACGGTGCGTGTCGGCACTGAAGGCGATTATGTCACCGACATCCCGACGTGGTCGAGGGAGTTCAAATATAGAGCCCGCTTCTGGAAAGGTAAAGCTTAATGAGCGTTTCAGAACGAAAGCTTTACCTATGATAAGCTGCAGTGAGGATTTGCTTAATTTACGAACGTAAGACTTGGGTGGACTATGTGTAAGAAGTTGCGTGTTTTTTTTTATTTTTATTGCTTAGATGAGTGGACGAGCTCACGGCTCAACTTTTGTTAAGTGGTTATCGGAGCCCATACACATCTAAAACGTAAATGCCACCACCCCACCTTGAGATATGAGTTCTAAGGTCTCAGTATAGTTACAACGGCTGCCCCACCCTTCAAATCGAAACATTACTGCTTCACGGTAGAAATAGGCAGGTTAGTGGTACCTACCAGTGCGGACTCCCAAGACATCCTACCACCAGTGAAAAAGGGGAGTGCAGGGGTGGCGTGTGGTAGACCTGAATGAGAAAAGGGATCATGGTACTCCAACCCATAGTGGGTTGAAAGCAAGAACAAGATTTACATAACAAAAGTCTTTCACATAAAATTACAAAAATATATTCGGAAATTTGTGTTTGTAGGGCTGTTATGTGCTTCGTTATGTGCTTCGTTATGTGAATCTTTTATAACCCCTCGAGGTTACCTGAATAGGTAGGGAAAAAAAATAAAAAAAAAAAGATGTGTGGTGTCGTGGATCACCGGATAGGAACGAAGTTCCTTATTATAAAAATATTAATTTTAAGTTCTATTCGAGGTATAAAGAAAATAAAACTGGAGGTTTCGCAACAACCCACGGTCATTCGGTAACGTGCGAACTTATTGTGGTACACTTCATTCACGGTTGTTTGCATAAGAGTTAGTGTATTGCGCAATCGAACGCTCTGAGATCGTGGTCAATGAATGATAAAAAAATATGTTATTTTTTGCACGTTATTAAAAAGTTAAGTCGTACACTGTGTGCATTACTAATAAAAATCTTACGTTACGGACGTTTTTTCCCGGTTATAGTACCCCTCCGCATCGTCCCATAAGGAACTTCATTCCAAAAAAAAATTGAATTGAACATTGCCTAAGCTCCCAGTAACTCAGAAGTCGGATGTGTTTAACCGCCTGCTTCCTCCGCAGAACGGGATAGGCAGCATGAGTTGGAGAAGAGTAAACTCAGTGCCGATTTAGAATCGGAGAGGCAGAGTCGTCAGAAGCTGCTGTCCTCGCAGTATGAACTCCAGGAACGTATTGACACGCTACAGAGGTAAGCGAACGAAGATTAATTTATCTATACTAATATATCTACAGTGGTTTTTACGGATGTTCCGCTATAACTACTGAACCGTGCATCCGATTGACTTGAAACTTGGTATCTATGTAGGAAATACATGTACTTAATGGATAGGCTAATATTTATATGAGTGTTGGACCCCCTAAACCGATTGCGGGGGCGTTAATGATGAGAATCTTTGTGGGGGTGAGAAATAATAATGTTAACTTTAAATACCCAGCGAAGCGGACGGCTACAGCTAGTAGCATCTAAAGTTAAATAGCTCTTGTTCTGACTCAATAGTTAACTTTTAAGTGCCATCTTCTATTAGTCAAAATAATATCGCAGATTTTATGTACATATTACATTAACGCTTTTCTTTTCTTTTCATTTAAAACTAGAGCTGAACTTTGTCAATGGATATTAAACAATTAATGAAAATCGCTTGACAGACAGACAGACGAGAATATGGAACTCAATAGTTTTGCCTTTGCCTTGTTATATTTTATTAATATATTATTGTGTTCATATAAATAAAAAAAAGTAATTAAAAAAAAACAATTGCAAAAACAACACCCTTTATAAAAAAAATCCCTCAGAGGAATGTTGTCAGCGCAAGTGCGGCTGTCAGCAACTCACGTTACATTAAGGCTCATTAAATAAGAATTACCAAACACTACAAGTATCTGTACTTAGTTAAGTAGGGAAGGTAATCAACACCCTGTATAGCGAAGCTTCTGTGACACAGGGCGCCGCCGGCCAAGGAACACAGGAGGTCGCTCTCCGACGCCAGCAGTAACTCGCAGCAGGAGACCGCAGTCGAGGACGTAAGCGTTTGAAGTCAGCTGACTTACTGTCTTTGTTAAATTCGTAATTTACCCGATGGCCTTGAGAGTCCGCACGGGTAGGTACCACCACCCTGCCTATTTCTGCCGTGAAGCAGTAATGCGTTTCGGTTTGAAGGGTGGGACAGCCGATGTAACTATACTGGGACCTTAGAACTTATATCTCAAGGTGGGTAGTAGCATTTACGTTGTAGATGTCTGTGGGCTCCAGTAACCACTTAACACAAGGTGGTCTATGAGCTCGTCCACCCATCTAAGCAACAAAATAAAATAAAAACTTCAGGGAAGATTTTATTTAAATCACAATGAAACATGAACTTAATTTATTCTTATTGTGATTGTGACATCTTAAATTGAAAACAATCCAATAATGCCCACTGAGTTTTTCGTCGGATCTTCTCAGAGGGTTGCGATTCCGAATCGGTGGTAGACTCTGCGAAGCACTGCTCTTGGTAGGGCTAGTGTTAGCATATTCTAATAAAGAATTAAAAAAGAAAAGGCCATTTAAAAAATTTGAAAAATCTTTAATGACCATTAAAAAAATGGCTACTCAGCGTAGAATTAAATTTAAAAATAATTATAAAAAAAAAAAACAAACGGACTACACACATGTCAATCTCCCTGAAGAAGTTTATAGTTGAAGCAAATACATTTCGTCAAGTCATTGTGAAATTAATTGGGGTTTGAACGTACACAAAGCGATATCTCCCACAGGACTACGGCTACGGGTCGGTGCGGTCCGTGGACACCAGCAGGCCCGCCCTGGAGGCCGTGAACTGGTCCGCGGGCCACAACAACGGGACCGTGCCGGTTCGTATCTAGCTCTCCACCACCACCGTGCGCAATGCTGCGAACCAATGCTCCAGTAGCTAACTGATTACTGGTGGTAGGGCCTCTTGTGAGTCCGCACGGGTAGGTACCACCGCCCCGCCTATTTCTGCCGTGAAGCAGTAACGCGTTTCGGTTTGAAGGGCGGGGCAGCCGTTGTAACGGTACCTCAGACCTTAGAACTTATATCTCAAGGTGGGTTGCGCATTTACGTTGTAGATGTCTATGGGCTCCAGTAACCACTTAACACCAGATGGGTTGTGAGCTCGTCCACCCTCTCTCGCCTCTCTGTTCGCGGGAAGTACTGCGAGGAATTGTCGGGGTGGTCCCTTCAACTGGTCCCCCACCGGAGTAGAGTCCTCCGTACAAGGTTAGCGGAGAGGTCACAGTGGGGGCAACAACTTGGCGGTGTATCTGGTGTCGCTGACATCTATGAGTGACGGTGACCACTCACCATCAGGAGAACTCGTCTGTCTACAATGACAATAAAAAAGGATACACCACGTAAAGCCCGCCTCGACAGACTCTGTCTACAAAAGCAATAAATAAATAGTTGTATATTCACTTTCCGTATCTGGTTGTCTCTTCCATCTGCTGGGAACGTGTCATGAGCTTCTTCGGATACGGTTTTTTTTTTTGCCCCTGTAGGCAGACGATCAGACGGCCCACCCGTGGTTTTTTTAAAGAGATTTTATGACCTGGTAACTAAGACCTTTAAGTCATGTCTTATTTTAATTTATATTCTTATTTTTATGAAAAATTATAATATGGAGTGAAATGAAATGAAGATGATTAATTTGAGACATTAATCAACTGGGATGAAATTAAATACAGTGAGATGAGATGTTACGGGATGAAATACAATCTCAGTAAAATGGTGGTCATTTTCTCAGATTTTTTTTAGTGGACTTTTTGGAGGATCCCGTAAAGTTACGTCCGGCGGCTTTGTTTCATTTTCCCACATTTGTGCACTTTCACAGGATATTAAGCAGTTAACAAACCACCGTTATAACACTTTTAAACCTGAACAAACACTAAATAGACAAAATAAAACAAATCACACAACTTCACTCTTCGCGTTCCCGCCAAAAAGTCGCTGGGTTGTAATATATATTTGAGGGTTTGTTTCCGTTGCCCCCATGGTGATGTTGTCCCAGGTGGCGGACGCAGGGCTGGTGCTGCGCATGCAGAACAGGATCTCGGCGCTGCAGAGCGAGCTGTCCCGGACCACCAAGCGCGCCGCCGACCTGGAGGAGAGGCTGCTCAGTTAGTACCCACTTTTTTTTTATTGCTTAGATAGGTGGATGAGCTCACAGCCCCCCTGGTGCTAAGTGGTTATTGAAGCCCATAGACATCTACAGCGTAAATACGCCACCCACCTTGAGATATAAGTTCTAAGGTCTCAGTATAGTTACAAGGCAGAAATAGGCGGGTTGGTGGTACCTATCCGCGCGGACTCACAAGAGGTCCTACCACCAGTAAAAAGCTCACTGCTGGCCGTCGACCCGCTGACACTTCTAGTGCATTCTTAGATCTGTCGACGTCGCCCTAAGCACGTCATTTCGGATCCTCCCGATCCACTAATGGTGCTTTTAGATACCTCAAGCACCGGTCACCGTCCTCTTCGAACCCTTCGTCGGAAGTGAATTAACCCGTAGACACAGCCCACTGAGTTTCTCGCAGGATCTTCTCAGTGGGTCGCGTTTCCGATCCGGTGGTAGATTCTGCGTAGCACGGCTCTTGCTAGGGCCAGTGTTAGCAACACTCCGTGAGCCCCGTGAGCTCGCCTACATGTTAGGGTGAAGCTGAAATAGTCTCTCAAGGCTTTTTTTTTTTTTTTTTTTT